CATGTACTTGTGACATCAATTCTTTGTAAATGCATTACAATTAAAAAAAAAAAAAAAAAAAAAAAAAACGTTTCTTAAGGTTTTCACAATTTTCGAGCGAATGAATTAACCAAGCCAATTTTTTCAAACGATCCTTAGTCCCATTAAACCCTCCATCGTTGCACGGGTGAACGATTTCGATTGACCAGAACAAAAACAAAGGTCGCAAGAAGACTCACATCTCCGCCTGGGTATCTCGGGCAGTCTGCGCCTACGCTCGCCCAGACCAGCCGATCGGGGCTGGTGCTCCGGCGTCGGCCAAGAGGACGAGGCTTCGCCCACCTCGCTCCCGAGGCCGCTGTCCCGCGCCCGGCCGAGTCCTCCTCCTCCTCCTCCTCCTCCTCCAATGTTGTCCCCGTTGTTGCTGCTGCAGCTACTACTACTGCTCAATCCGGCGAACAGGCTGACACATATACACGCATTTCAAGTACATCAATTTTTGGCTATGCTCTGTATATGTTTATGTACATGCATATTTCTCCCCTCTCCCCCCCCCCTCGATCGTTAAATATGCCCCTTGTGAAATTAACATTAAAAAGTAGAGGTTCTACCTGAGAGATTTTCAATTAAAGGATGATATACCAATAGATGGACAAAGGGGGAAGAAATAAAATAAAAAATAAACGTCTAAAGAAATAATGTGGATATACGTGTGTACCTAAAGTCGCTGTCGGCGACGATAGAGGAGCAGCACATTTGCTCGCACTCCTCGTCGGCGGAGCTGTGGCCGCTGTGAGCCTCGTGATGCCTGTGCAGCACCACGACCTCCTCGTCCTCGGAATCTATCGTCGCGCCTACGCACGACCTGCCCGCCTCGTTGTCGCTCTCCTGCGACGACGTCGGCGACTCGTCCAGCATGACCCCATGCACCAGCCTGCACTCCAACACACACCCGCACACGTGATGATTTTTATCTCCTCCATACGTATAATAATTATGCACAAATCATTGCATATACCTATAATCATTGGGTGTGAGTTTTTTTTTTTTTTTTTTTTTTTTTTTTTTTTTTTACCAAAACTTTTTTTTTTTTTTTTTCTCAACCAAACTTGTTTATTTTCCTTGCATCTAGCAACTCCGACCTCTTTTAGGATATATATATACACACATGGTGGTGTGCACACCCGTGTAACATGGGTTTTATTATTTCATCGGGTCGCAAAAGCTTGTACTCAAATATGCGCACGTCCGACCGTACAGGCTTGTTTCTACTGAAAATTTGATACCACGATGCGTTTTACCGTTTGTTCACCCATAACGTGTTTATGCTAAACGCGGGTGCCACATAAGTACACCTGATACTTGTGCATATGTGTACCATAATTGAAAGTTATACATACGGAAGCCTGATAACGACACCCGCATGAAAAGTTGTGGGTTGACCGTCGCATTAGCAGAGCGCATATGGCTATCTGCTATAATCCTGTATATAGGTAAGGGTATATAACTTTTATCAAAAGTTGACGGACACATTAGTCCGATGCCATGATGGAAAATGAAGTGATTTCCAAGTTGGTGGTTGCGAGATACGACGAGCAGAGGGTGCGAGAAGAAGTAGGGTATTAGGTGTGGAAATGGAAACGAGTATATGTATATACGTGGATGTGCCTCTTTACATCTCGGCCAAGCCCCGGAACGAGGTCTAGTCGATTGGACGTGCTTAATTATACATAAGATGATCCACGCGAGCAACAAAACAAAGGCCAACTCGGATGTAAACGAAGTATCCCTCGAGTGACCCAACATGTAATATATTATATACGTGGGCCCCCGACAGTGCACGCCATCGTATTCACGCGTGTACAATATAATACACATACATTAATATAGATGTCGAGGCAAACTCACGTGTAGGAGTCGCTGGGGGCCTTGAAGTGCTGGGGCAGCCTGTCGAAGTAAAAGCGGAACTGCTCGAACTCGGTGTCGGCCATCCTGTTCGCCCGTTCGTTCGTCCGAGGCGAGGAGGAGGAGGCTCCCCTGCCAGGGAACGGAGGCCGAAGCTCCCCCCAGCAGCTGTCCCCGGAGCCGTTCGAGAAACAGTTGTGGCTCTGTCAATTTACAGCTTCGGTGTTTTTCTCCTGCCTTGTCTTCTCCTGCACCGCGTAGACGACGGCGATCGTCCCGATCAGCTTATTGATTGCTACGGAGGGGGTTGCTGCCGCCACCGCTGCTATCGGTCGTGGGGAGCGACTGCGCATGTCCCCCCCTCCCCCCGACTCTGTAGGGAGAAACCTGTATACATATACATAGAGTGCACGAGAAGGGGTGTGTGGGTGGAGGCAACTTTTATGCCACTGCAGTGGCTTTCCTGTATATATATTACGAGCTCGGGCGAAACCCGTGAGAGGGTGTACCATGTACGTTTTTTTTTTTTTTTTTTTTTTTTTCTTTCTTCAAGTTGGCATTTCCACTCGAACGACTAAAGTACCGTTTTTTTGCCGTTCAGGGGTTTTTTTTTTTTTTTTCTGCGGAAATGACGGTTTCGTCGCTACGTGGTTTATCGTAAAAATGAATATCAATGAATAATATTTTTTTTCATAATTACCGTAAATGAACAATTAGCTCGACTGATTGTGCAGATTGTTTATGCATGAGAGCTGTGGTGGATCTTGGCATAAATGAGAACGAAAATTCGCGAGTTTTAATATTCGTTCAACAAAATGTAAAACTAATCTTTGTTTCGGGACTATAATGCACTGTTGAAGTGATATATCCTTCGGCTTGTACTTACTTGTGGCATTTGTCAAAAAATTAGAATTACATCGTAGAGTCCAAAGATATCGTGCCAAAGATCAGTGCCTCGTATGTTTTAAGGGATTACATGTCATAAACTCACCAAATTTCAACACGAATGCAGTTATAAACCTATACATCTCTTGATCGTTATGAAAAAAAAAAAATTAGAAAATACAACAATCGAAGTCATTTTCATCGAATAATTGTGCCCAAGTCTGCAAGTGGAACGCTTTATTGAATCCAATGATGCAGTATCAGTGTTATTATTTTTTGAAAAATCTTAATACATTTTTTTTCCCCGCCAAGTATTATATAAATGTCATACGATAGTAATTATCACGAATAGAATGATGTATTATTATAATGGTAATGTACGACTATTCACATGTTACCAGTATAAATCGATTTAACAAACCATTTTTTATTTGACGAAATCGCAGATGATACCAAGCGTTAAAATCTGCAGTTATGCGAGACATCCAACGAAAGCATGGAAATAAGTCTAGGGACATGAGATATCCAACTTTGTGGTAAATATAACATAAGCCCATAGTCACGTTTATTGAGTATCATAAATCTATACAAGAAATTGAATCATTATCGAGTTATATCACGTTATAAATTTTTACTGTGGACTTGACACGTCGAGAATTTTACAAAAAATACACATATGTCTTACAACATTTATCAACCGTTTGAAGGATTTTCACTTAATATTTACTTAACGATCGAGTCGTCGAGGCCGAGCTTTAAAATATATCATCTAGTTCGTGTACCTTTGAGTTGGTAATTTTACTTTTAGTAGTTGGTAATCTTACACGCTTTCGGCACTTGATGTTTTTGCCAAAGACCCAGACCTCGTATGTATACTTGGGCGGGTGCATGTGAGCAATGTAGCTTGGTAACATTAGACTATTCGAACCTCTTCATTAGCAAGTTGGATTGGAGCTAGTACGCATTGATCAATTTTCACGCTAAATCTTGGGATTTATTATAAATTGAGAGCCAAAAGTTTATAGGTATCACAAATAGTGTGTCACTGAGAGATTCGCAGCAGCAGTTGGACATTGCTTTGCTAGAACTGTTTTGCAAAAGTGAAAAATGAACGCAATGCCATTAACATCGTCATTTAGGGTACAAAACATACAAAATGTATTTCTTCTCGGGCGTGTTGCTATTGAATCCCTGTAAAATTGCCGAAGCAAAAGAAAAAAATTCTTACGCTATATGGGGCCGTTTCTCGTCCCAAAAAAACACCTAATAGTGTCTGTCTGTATTTTTCGCGGTTCCGTATTATTTATACGCAAGGCTTGTTTGTACTTTTCTTGTTCCAATAAACCATTATACAACAAACTTTGTATGGGCTTGAATATAATCGTAGACGTTTGAAATCGTCGTCGCGGGGGATTTTTCGTTCCCACTCGCCACTGGACGCAGTGCCGAGAGAGGATCAGTTTGTTTGCCAAGGAAGTAAACGGAGAGCTCTATTCTTTCGCGGTTGTTTGACCAAGTATTTAAATCCGCTTCAAACTTAAGTATTATTTCCATTGGTTGCCCAACGTCTCATTTATCATAAATTACACAGTATATGGTTTTCTTTTCTTTTTTTTATCTCTCTCTTTCTCTCTCTCGCTGATGAACAGTACCTATAATATAAATATAGGCAGAGGAAGTATACAAGAAGCTATATACACTCCAATGTTTGATCTCGACTAGGTGTATATACTATTCCCACCGTGAGAATTCAGCGTGGAAAAAGTTGGTCCCTCGAGATTTTTCCCGTAAGTGATTGGCCCCTCCGCAAAGACATCGATCGGCTCTCCTAGTTTTCGTTTTACCAATTATTCCCGTGATTTTTACTTTTTGACTGGCACCGAAGAAGTTTATGGCACATCGAGCGAAAGATAAGGCTGCCCATGTACCTCTGCAGCTGACACGCACAGTCGGATAACTTGGGCCATTGTTATATATGCTGGACCCCACAATGAGATCGTACCTTCAAACGGGGGGTATGGTTTTTTCATGACATATTTGTTCGGGTGACCAAACGCCTGTTATTACAATCGTTCTCCAGAGTACCTGTATAATGAAAGTTGGCTTTGAAAAAGCGTGAGTTAAAGGAAGTAATAAAGGAGAAGCGGCCGAGAGAAGAAAGTCTGTAGATAAAACGGAAGGAATCAATGAAAGTAGCCGAGACTGATTAATTTCATCTAAAAGCGCACGGCGGTGGAGGGCAAGTGTACAGCTATGTGTGTGTGCGCGCGAGTGTGGGCGGTAGAGAGAGAGAGAAAAAGATAGCGCGTGTCTTGCGTTATCTAAACGGACGCGAACCCACACACGAGGATGGGTAGGGGGGGGAGAGTCGGCGCGCGTTACTGATGACCGTGTATCAGGTATACAACGTTACATATATATACACCCATCCAAGAAGTAATGTGCTGCATCTGCTTTGACCCGAGTGCTACTCCAATCTCGGGGTATATGTTGATATGAGCACTTGGAGTGAATTTTCCCATCCGCCCACGCGCATTTACGCACCATCGCCCAATTTTCAATTGTCCTCCTTTTTTTTCCCCCATCTGTGTGTATCTGCATTGTCGAGGGTTGCTATTTCATCGTGACAAGAAATCATTAATCGTGATTGCTTCACTCTCGAGTGTTTTATACAAATTTTCAGAGCAACAGTGTAATTTAACCAAAGGTGAATCGGTACATCATGTCGATCCTCGAACAGTTTTTTTTTTCAAGTGATGGTTCCGCCAGTATTAAAACGCGTAAATTTTCGAGTTGAAAGAAAACTCGCGGATCTGCACAACCTTACCGCACTTACCTTTTTCTCTTTTTTGGAAGTATAATTGTTATCGGACGAAAATAATCAAAAATCATCGTTAAAGAACATAAATATGAAATAGTTAACGAATTATCGATTTGATTTTTCTTTGAACATTTTATAAAAAACGTAAATTTTGATTATACACTTTGAACGTGTATACTTAAACACACTTGTAAAAACATAAAAATGGCGAAAAATGCAGTACCCGTGGCTTGAAATTCTGATTTTTGCATCATCGGTTGGGATCGCGCGACGCATTAGCAAGCGCACAAGTACAAAGAAAAAGCCCCCCCCCCCCCAATGATCGACGGATGAACAATAGCGAGAAAAGCGTCTGACGTCGATCGGGAGATGAAAGCACATCGGGGAGAATATAATACACCTGCACCGAGAACTGGTCCAGCCAATGGGAGATCCGCGGCGCGGACCAATAGGTTGCCAGCGCGCCACTCACCCTCCCAAGACAGGAGGGGGTGAAGGCTTTAAGTACCCCGGGTATCCTCTAAAACGCAACACTGCTGCTCGCATTCCCTCGACAAGTGCTTCCTTTTCATTTGAAACGCGGGGCCCATGAATCGCCGTTTCAGCCGGTCTTTGCCGATGAACGAGAGCAGTGCTTCGTTGGTAAAATAGTGTTTACACGCGACTCGAGGCATAAACATTGCATTAAACCGCGAAACCGGTATCTGGTGCTTGTTGGTGTACATACCGATCCAAACGGTAACTCGACGAAATGCACAAATAAATCGATCAATATAAACAAGCACACGTCATAATAGCATATTATTCGATTCCCCATATAAGTATATTTAAGCAGCACGAGGTGAGAGAGGATGAGCGGCTCGGGAAAGGGATTGCTGGGCATGTGGCTGTACAGGAGGGACGAGGAGTGGACGGTCAAGGAGGGCAGTCCTCTGCACAAGCGCCACGACGTGAGTGAACGAGACAACAAAGTGGTAATATATTAACCCGTGTTTGTTGGTCATACGAGTGTGATGAACGTATAGGTGGCGAGGGTCGAGAATAAGGTGCCGGGCGACAACGCTACCAATTCCGTGGTCTTCTCCTTGAAGAACCAAGTTGGCGGGCTCGCCCGAGCGCTACAAGTTTTTCAGGCATGGCGTGCTTTTCACTCTTATGCTTTGTCACGTCCGACGAATTGGATATACCTATACATATCAGGGGTGGATTTGGGTTGCAGGATCTCGGGGTGAACGTGGTGCACATAGAGTCGCGGAAATCCATGCGCCGGGACTCGGAGTACGAGATCCTCGTGGACGTGGAGTGCGATCCCAGGCGAATGGAGCAGTTGACGCGGATGCTCGGCCGCGAGGTCGCTGCCATCAATCTCGCCCAGTACGAGCAGATCGGTAGCGTGCCCCACCCACCGCTTTCGGCCGCCCCGAGCTTTGGTGCGTTTATTTAATTCTTTTCTTTTTTTTTTTTTTTTTTTTTTTCCCTTATTCCGTACATTGCGTGCTTTGTTCTCCTCAATGTATGGTCAGCCGAGCTTATTTTTTTCTTCTTTTGCGTGCTAGAGCGGCGTGCATTGAACCACTTGGCGTCTATCGATAAGAAAATATTTTTTTCGGGAAACACTCGTGCAAGACTTCTCGTTAACTGCATGGCAATGAACTCGCTTGATAAGGTGGCCAGTCACAGGGGAGATCATTAATTAGCTTACTGAAATTTGGTGGATTATCTTGTTGATTTCGATGAGACGAGTGTGGTGTATTTTTAATACGTTTTCAGATGATATTTGATGAATCGATTCATCCTTGTAAAGTGCAAGTTTCAGAGACGAGCTGGTTACTAACTTTTAGAAAGGATACATTTCATTGAGTATGACGAAAAAAGTACATACGCACAATTTCTTTTTTTTTTTTTTTTTTTTTTGTTGGTACTACAACAGATAGTCATCATCGAATACTCGAATGGGTTCGTTGTGTGCACCATCTATTCGCTGGTTGACTATTCAAGTGTGATAATCACGAGTCAAGAGAGTGTTAATTTTTTATGACGAATTAACCGTACCCCAAATTTATAAAAATAGAAACTGACGTTAAATAAGTCGAGAAAAAAGGGAGTTGATCCTTCCAGTTAGTAATCAATTGTCAAACCTCGGTACGGATGCTTTCCAAATATTTTTTCCACCGAAATTTGGTGCATTATTTTAAAAAACGTTTTTCAATTATTTTTCTAATAACGTGTGGTTTTTAACAAAATTTTTATCGAGCAATAATAATGCATTACAATTAAAAAAAAAAAAAAAAAAAAAGTATTTAAGAGTGTACTGAAATAAATTTATAATTCCAATATTTTAATATATTAAATATATTACACTTTAGCTGTTGGTGTAAAAACATTTTTCTAATATTGTATTGTGATTAGTGACGAATAAAGAACTTTTTGAGTAAAAAAAGCGCTTTTTACAGGAAAAAAAAAAATGTTCTTTTAAAGCGTTTAAAAATCCATAAAATAATTGAGCCCAAGTCTGTCAATTATAAAATGTGAATATCCACTTAATGAAGAAATAGATAGCGAAACCGCTTACGTCTCCTTTAATCTCGATAATTCGAAGGTTACTAAAAAAACGATTAAGCTGTCTTCGTAAAAAAAACTACCATCATGAAATTTGTTAACGAAGGAAAATAACTCCGTATCTTGGGTTTTTTTTTTTTTTTTTTTTTTGCTGAGAATCTAAATATGTATATTATTTTTCGGGGAAAACTATCGTTACAATGGACACAGTTCAATATCATTGGAAATGACGATAATATTTTACAAATCCGTAACATCATCCTAATATGAAATTAAACTTGAAACCGGCCTTGCCGAATTCGTCTCCAAAGTAATGAGTAATGCCGAATTCGTCCCCAAAGTAATGAGTATGGCCGAATTTGTCCCCGGGTCATTCGGTATTTCCGTATTTGTTACCGAATTCGTCCCCGAGTCGATAATACTTTTTCTTAACTTCTTTTTTCGTTTAGATGATATTTTTTGCGTCGCGCTTTTCATTGCAAATCCAAAATTCAATCCAATGTTCCGTCAACATAAATACCTATCAATTAAACCACATAAAAACTGTAAATTTCTTTCAGTCGAAAACAGAATTATTTTCTCTTCTTCATCATTTACTCGTAAAAAGTCCTCGCCAGTATTTGTCAGTACTTGCATCTTTTTTAAGACGTCATGATATTCAGATGATGATTTAGGTAAAGGAAGTATTACCCGTCGTCATGCAGTTAAACCAAATTCCATCGTTGAAAAATTAACAAACGCAACTGTTTATAATACACCATTTAGCGGAACGGCTAGCACAGAACTGTACGCAAATATAATGTTTTCACAATATGTAAGAGAATGATCAATACCATTTGTCAAAAATGGTCTGATTCTTCGCGGGACGAATTCGGCAGAAGATTAGAAACACCTTATCGACTCGGGGACGAATTCGGTAAGTGATAAAAGATGCTATCACAACGGAGATGAATCCGGGTAGGTCCCTCGAAACACGTATTTATGCCTTTTATACGAGCCGTTATCGAATTCGTTAAGATAAAAAAAAACTTTGTTTAAAGAACTCGTACATGCGATCTTCGAATCTCGTCGATTTAAAACTCGTAAAAGTTTTTACGGTCCAAGCGTGTACTGTACCGCGCAATCATCTCATATACATACATTTTTAACCAAAACGCCGGAGATAGCGTACTATCAATTTATCACACTTTACGTAGATTTCAGCGAAGTGGACATGGTCTGGTTTCCCCGAAAGATAGCAGATCTGGATAGGGCTCAAAAAGTCCTGATGTACGGCACGGAACTCGACGCCGATCATCCCGTAAGTGCGACGTTCACGTATTGGCTAGAAATAGTCGCAAAGTAAAAAAAAAAAAAAAAAAAAATATCTTTTTTCCTTTTGCAGGGTTTCAAGGATCCCGTCTACCGCAAGCGCCGCGAGCAATTCGCCGACATAGCCAACAACTACAAACAGTCGGTTCTTTAATCATATTTTTCTTATGATACACCCAATTATCAGACAATAGTTATACTTTATCGCAGTCGTTTTCGTGATTACACGCACGCACCGAACGCGCATTTGCCTCGACTTGCAGCGGGATGCCGATTCCAAAGGTCAAATACACGCCGGAAGAAATCAAAACCTGGTATGTTTCGACCTGTACAATATACATACATACATATATATGTATATGCATACATTAAAAGTAGACCCACGCATGGTAAAAAGTAACGCATATACTGTATACGGATGATATCCATCCTGGATCGTGCATTTCAGCGGGATAAATCGAGTGGTCCTTCGTTAACGATCATGTAGCGAAAGATCGCGAGTACGTGTTTCCTTCGTCACGAAGCCAATCATTCGCGCTCCTCCTCGATACGTATATATACATGTACTACTTCTTCCTTCGTTATACCTTTCGAGCGCGTACACACGTACAGTGTATCGAACACGCGCTCGGCGCAAACGAGGGAGAAGAGGCGCGCTCAAGTTTGCGCCTCGCTCTGAATGCAGCTTAATTGGCCCGATTCAAGTTTGATTCGATGCCGGCTCTTGTGCACTATGTATATACGGTGTGTGTACCTTCTCCCCACCTTGGGGGTTTTTTTTTTAATTGCGGTTAATCGAATTGCACTTTGGCTTTGCTTGAAATTGAAAGGAGAAAATAGTACCTGCCATATAAATTAATATGACAATTGCAGGGGAACGATTTTTCGCGAGCTCCATCATCTTTATCAGAAGCACGCTTGCAAGGAGTTTCTGGAGAATTGGCCGAAACTCGTCAAATACTGTGGATACAGGTGAGACCGTTCACGACCACCATAGTATATTTATGCATGATATTACGTACAACGCATTGTTACAAGCTGTGTGTTTTCCTCCCTAGAGAAGACAATATACCGCAGTTGCAGGACGTCGATGCTTTTCTGAAAAGTGAGTGGTATAACGAACGCGTGTTTTTATGTATGATTATTTATGATATTGAACGGGTACGATTAACAGTTTTCTTTACCTCAGAAATGACGGGTTTCCAACTGCGACCGGTCGCCGGTTACCTGTCGCCGCGTGACTTTCTGGCGGGACTGGCCTTTCGCGTCTTTCACTGCACTCAATACATCCGCCACTCGTCCGACCCTTTCTACACACCCGAGCCGTAAGAACATTGGGATATCATAGTACTTTCGATTATCGCCAAAACGTCCAACGTCCAAAGTATTCATCGTGTACAAAAACAAAAAAAAATCTCAGTTTGCCATTTTCCTTCCACCAATAAGATGTGGTGGACGTTTTGGTGAGATGTATATAAATTTGCGGGACCAAAAAGAAAGATCCAATTTCGCTTTACTCAGGGACTGCTGTCACGAGCTCTTGGGACACATGCCGCTGTTGGCCAACCCGAGTTTCGCGCAATTCTCGCAAGAGCTCGGCCTCGCCTCTCTCGGCGCGTCCGATGTGGACATCGACAAGCTGGCGACCGTAAGCGACTCGACCATAATGTGCAATTAATACACCTAATAAGTACATAGGAAAAGAGAACAACAAAAAAGTGTCCTCTCGTGTGGTTCACAGCTTTACTTCTTCACCGTGGAGTTTGGACTGTGCAAGCAAGAAGGGGACCTACGGGTGTACGGGGCTGGTCTACTGTCGTCGATCGCCGAACTGAGACACGCGGTCGCCGCGCCGGAGAAGACGCTCCCGTTCGAGCCTGACGTCACTGTTAAGCAGGAGTGTATTATCACCGCCTTTCAAAACGCGTACTATTACTCGGACAGCATCGAAGAAGCCAAGGAAAAAATGAGGTACGTATACATACATACTGCACCCAACAAAAACTGTTTCGACTTATCGAACGACATTTTTCCAAATTTAGTACTTTGAATTTTTCCTTAATTCAAGTAAACGTGGAGTACTCTTATATTGTTGTTAATCAAACGTACCTCAATGAAATCGTGAAAATTCGGGACCACGACTAAGACACTACATCGATGTAACGGACATTTTGGGCGCGTTCGAGAATTAGTATTCGTTCCCTGGGCCGTTTTGTTCAAAAAATTCGAAAAGTTGTGGAAACAACAGCCTAACCGATCGATAACCAGTAAAACTTTCCTCGCAATTTTAGAGGACGAACGGTAATTTTCGAACGCGCTCTTTGGCTTGTTTACGCGAATGGAATGAATTTAATGAAAAAAAAAAAAAAAAAAAAAAAAAAAAAAAAAAGAAAGAAAATTGTACAAATAGATGAGACATTTTTTTCTTCCCCGCAGGCAGTTCGCGAACCAAATAAAACGGCCATTCGGGCTGCGGTACAACCCGTACACGCAGTCGGTGGAGGTGTTGACGGACGCGCAGAAAATAACGGCCGTGGTGAGCGAGCTCCGGGGCGACCTGTGCATCGTGTCCAACGCCTTGCGAAAAATCCACGAGCAAGACGACAGCGTCAACGTCGAGAAGATCACGAACCTGCTGACCCGGGGTATCGACCTGCAACTCGAAACCGGTAACTCGTCGAGTTCCGCCAGCGACTCGGACGATCTCGACAAGAGCCCCAATCGCGACGACGATCGCGAGCCTCGGCAGGCTCCCGGCTCCATTAAATAAGACCTTTATACACTTGCACTATTTACTTTTGCTCGTGCCATATAATATTACACAGTATTTATTTCGACTATGATATATAAATAAGCTCTTTTTCCCCAAAAATCATTGCACAGTATTATTCACAGCCGGCGTACGATTGGCTGATTGTTTATTTGGTATGTATTTTACACGGCGCACATCATGCGTGCATACCTATAGGTATGTCTAGTCGGTTCAACGTTCAACACATTATAATATACAGTCACAGTTGATGTTTACGATTAATAATGTAGAGAAATAGATTTATAGTTGTATTATTTATGAAAAATTAATGTTTAATAACAATGTAGTTGGACTATGAATTTTAATCCGTGGATAAATTGCATGTGTTTTTTGAATGTATAGAAAAATAAAAAGCTTTGCGAAAAATAAACCTTGTTTTCATTCAATTGACGTCCAATGTAAAAGAGTAAAACAAACTTGACACCCATACTTGAGGGATTATAGACCAACAAAACGCACTACGTTATACACTCATAAACTGATTATTTTTACACTTGAGGAAGAATCCTCTCAAGAACATATTTAAGTAAAAAACGCAGGCTGACCTGTTGCTGACAATATTGGTACCTTGCATGAAAAACCCCATTTTTGGTATACAGGAATGTGTGTATTTGAGTCTAGCGACACATTTAGGCACATTTAAGTTGATTCCCACAAGTTTGCCGGACACATTTTTGAGAGCACTGCCCGTGGCAAGTCTTTTTGGCTCGTCATGCTGCCCGCAGTTGAGCATGTCAACTATGTCAACTATTTATTATAGCGTCGGTACCGGCGTTTACCGGTTAGCGTTAGCCAATACACTATAACTGCTATATGTATACCTACTTGGTTATCGACACGGATGGACAACAATTGTCATGATGTAACTTCATCGCCGACCGCGTGGCGGCATGCGGTTAACACTTTTCGACAAATTTCATGAATATCATCGTTTGTGAAATACCGAACGGTTAAAACTGAAAGAAAAGTTGAGGGGAAGATGGAAAATGATCGTTTCCGCTGGATGCATCCACTTTGAACCCTCCCGACGAGTCCTTGACCCAACCATTGTTTCTCCGGTTCGCTCCTGCATGTGGCGAAAAAAGTGTCTGGTTAGTATATATAGCCGAATCAGTTTTTTGTAGCCAGAGATGTGTGCACACCAGCTCGCCTATGACGCAAGTCTAGGGTCACCCGGGTGGGGAACGGAATCGGTTTGAACGGTTTGCTAAACGTTGAAAAACGTGTAGAGTAGTAAGCCCACCGGACCGGTACCCTCACAACAGGTAAGTGAGGTAAGTTCAATGTAAGCGTGGCTTGTTGCATGGTGTGTTCATATTTTTTATTTTTTTTTTTATTTATACAATTCTACTTAAAGTCCATGTACTTCCTTGTTATTGCGTTTCTACGAATTCCTCTCTTTTATTCATCTCGTCTTATAAAGGGTGAAAATTCACTCTTCAAATCTTCTTTTTGTTAAAACTTTCATGTATTCGTGTATTATTTCATTATTTCTTTTTCAAATACTTCGCCCTTTCTTTATCACAGGAGTTAAAAGAATATGTTGGTTCAATATAAATTTCCAATAAAATTTTCCATCGTAAAAGACCCTCCGATTCCCCCGCCCTATATCCAGAACTCCTGCAGCATCCCCCGTAAAATTAGGAAAAGTTCGATGGATTCGTTCGTTATTTTACCTCAATAAAATATTTACATGGTGCTGACTGTCAGTTTTTAATTTTTTTTATTTCTTTTCGAAACGTGTAAGTTTTTCGTTTTTAAATTGCGTATAATCGCAGAATAACTTAATTTTGATCAACAAATTAAGCTATTAGCTGTCACTTACATATTTCATTCATCTTACCAGCGCGTTTTTAATGCGGAAACAATGATTTCCGTTAAAAAAAAAAAATGTCAAACAGAAATTAACAGAGATAGGAAAAAAAGGCTGAAAATATATTTTACTACTTTGAATTTTAGCGCGCAGGGAGGCGAACCCACTAGCGCAAAAAAAAAACATATGTTTGTATATATGTGTACTTTATATACAGTATTATATTTGCGGGCTGAGTTTTTTTGTTTGTTTACAACCGATGTTGTTTGCTGCATAATTTGTTTCCATGATTATTGCAGTACCTACTTGTTGGGCACACGCGCTTTGTCCTTTTTTTACCAGCCTGATGGATTAACGACTCAATTTTAAATTCTGCAGCTGAAATGGCCCAAATCACTGAATCCAGCATCGATGGACTACCGAAGCATTTTGTTTCCGCTATGCGGACTCTTTTTGACATAATGGATGACCAGAACACTGGTAAGCGTATTTCATACTCATTTACTTGCATCATGTGTACTGAGTTTTTCAATGCAGCTGTTGTACGTGTAGCAACAATATGGTGTGAAAGTAAAACAAGTCTTCTGTCATTCCTGAAACACTTCCGCAGGTTATGTCAATTACGCAGACATCGAAGCTCGCTGGCACGACGATGGGGCCTCTGGATTGCCAAAAGGAGTGTTGGATGGATTAAAGAAAAAAACCCCACCCAATGGTCTTTTGTCGTTCGAGAGGTTTTGCGCTGGTCTTAAAATAAGCTTACTGCATGCCCAAGCTGAAAAACTGGATGCTACTCAGCCAAACAGACCACCTTCTGCTCCAGTGCTTGATAATCAAAACAAATCGGCCTGGACCTCGCCAAATACGGCTACCATCAGGCCAAATAACGTTATTTCACAACAGAGGACACTTAGTATGCCTCAATTGCCAGGTAGAACAAAGGAAGTTGACACTAGACTCTCTGCTGACTCAAAACTCTTGAAAGGTATGCATTTTCCATGGTCTTATAGAATTTCAACATTAATTTAATTATTATTTTAGCTTATGGACCACCAAAACCACCTCGCACTGGTGCAGCTTTGGATAGTAGAGTTTTGAGTGCAGACAGAAGTTTTGATAAATCAGAGATACGCACAGCTTTACAGAACTGGCAAATGGGGATAATTATGGGAGCTGAAAAAGGGTCGGAAAAGCGTCAGAATATACAACAACCCAGAATATTGGGGGATGGTAAAGCTATTGATATTCATACTGCCCAGCAACTAGCCTTACAAATTCAAAACAAAAAATTGCCCAGTCGACGAAGAGAACCGCGAAGGCATACTTTGCAGAACGGTATTGATTATAATATGGTAAATCACAATTTCAAACATTCAGTTAAATAAAACTGAGGTGTAAAACTGTTAAATAAACCTTTTGTTACAGATGAAAAGAATGAAGCAAATAGAACAAGAAAAGGACGTACTGTTGCAAGGTCTTACAGCGGTTGAAAAAGCAAGGGATTGGTATTTGAAGCAGATTTCTATCACTCAAGAAAAGATTAAGCATTTGGGAAGAATGGGTTCACACGTGGTATGTTTTGACATCACTTGTCAAAAAATTGTCTACAAGTTCACGTCAGTAAAATACAATAATTAAAAAATGAATTTAGGAACAATGGACGGAAGCACAACAAGAAAGACTGGAACTTCAAAAAGCCAGAGTGCTCGAAGTCAATAGACACTTGGCAGCTTTAATCAGTAGTTGGGAAAGAGGTGGATTGCCTTTCCACATGAACTTGGCCTTTTTGAGCTCTCCAACGTCGGCAGACATGTTGTCGAGATTAAAGCAGCAAAATCATAGATTAAATGAGGTGCGTAAAATTAAAGCGATTATGTAAATTAAATTTTTCCAATCATCATATTTTCTTGATTTTCAATCATTAAACAGGAAGTCAGTAAAAAAAGTCATCGTATAGCACTTTTGGAACAAGAGAAAGATAGTCTTATGCGTGAACTGTACGTTCGACGATCAACAATGATTCATGAACAGCATGATCAAACGTTCATGTAAATTATCTTTTGGATACCGTATTTTTCGAAAACCTTTCAATTAGCTCATTTTTTTTACTAAATTATGAATTTTTTTTTTTACAGAATTTAATTGAACAAAAGGAGCATTGATTAGAAAAATTTATCGCCAATATTTTGGTTGTGTAAGAGGAAATGAGGAAGAGCGTTGTTTAATTATGTCACTTATTACAAATAAGAATGTAAGTGTAATGTAAAATACATCTGTTATTGCGGCATAATGCCGTATTTTTAACAAATTTTATATTAATTGTAAGATTTTTATATTTTATGAAAAATGTATTCATAGTTGTATAAGCATCGAATCCATCCATTTATTATAATCAAGTGTAAATTGAAAAAATATTACTTTATCAATAAATTATTTCTTATTTAAAATGCGTATTTGTACTGATTTAAACCAAATAACCAATTTCAAAGTAAAATTATGGCATCTTTTTAATTTAAGAGATCACGATAAATGAGTGTTTCAAAAAAATAAATAAAATAAAATAAAAATCAACTCAAAAAATATAAAAATATTTCTTTCACTAGTAGTATTGGAGAAGCAGTACAATTNTTGGCATGAAATGCAATTGTATCAAAAAAAATCAGGTCATTTAAGCAACATACTTCAAGTAACTTAAAATTGGTACCCACAAATAACTTTATAAAGGAAGTCCCATAATCAGGACATGAATTATAAAACACTGGGACAAGCCTTCTGGTGTTTTTTTATAATAAAAACATATTAGATGTTTAAATTTTATAATAAAAAAACAGTCTATTTGGCAAAAAATAAAGTAAAAAATTATAATAAGTTACTAAAGTTAAAGCGATTTTAAAAAAAACCGGAACTACTTGTATTTAAGCATGTCCACTTTTTTAAAGACAATAGAGAACAAAAATGCAAAAAATTGTTCCATAATTAGTACTGTTACCTAATGAGTTTCTATAAATGCATTAAAAATTGAGACTTAAGCGCTTCAAATTCAAGTTCAACTTCACTACTGAACTAAAATTACTTTAAAAATGCTATATCTCAAAATGCCGCTTTCTAAGTCGATGATCTAACTAAAACAAAAAAAAATAAAAATTTTTCTCCACTATTCTTTACATACGTAGAATCCAAAATATCTCATTTAAAACACAAAAACTTGATTGCTTGCATTTCATAAATCGGTTCGGGGAAGATTCGTGTGAGCGCATGTACATTTTTTTCTCGCCGATACGAGAAAGGAAATTTCAGACCAAAAAAAAATAAAAATTTTCAAGAATCGAAAGTTAATTTTAAATTTTTGGTAGTCACTATGGTACGACTAATAATACTCGATGTTTTTCAAGTTTAGTGTCAACGGCTCACCTACGTAAAACTATACATTTAAATTACGATTTGTTTCAGGATCAGCAAGTTCAAGTTTCGTTCTCTTCTCTCCGAAAAGTAGCAACGCAAATTCATCATCACAACTATGCGGAAATTCGCCCTGCCAATCGTTATTTTTCTTCTAGCAGTAATTGGTATTTATACGCATATTTATACTGCACTTTTCTTTAGAAATAGAACACATGGAGGTCAAAAAAACAAAAAGTCCATTAAGTACGCTTAGTTGGGGCGTAAACGAGTCCGGAATTCGTATCTGAAAATTTATGGTACATATAGTAATAAAAGAAGAGAGCTGGAACAGTGATTATCACGAGCGCGCGGGAAATGCATCCGGTCGCTGAGATTGCCACTGACACGTCGCCTTATCCAATGTAGTCTCTTTTCATATCTTTTAGGGCACGCGGTATATTTATAATGTGTTCCACTTAAACATCTCACACACACACACACACACACATGCAATGAAAACGACCATCACTCGTTATCGATGAAAAAAAATATGCATTGTGAATAACATCCTTTGGCAAAAATTTTACTGCATTAACTATAAACTTGATTTTCAGAATATCAATGCGCTCGAGCTTGCGAAACAGATGAAATGCGAAGAGGATGCAGAATTTCCGAAGGTCAATGTTCTTGCGGCTTTGGATGCAAGTCTGAATTCAGATACGAAGATATGGGTAGCTGCAAACTCGCTCTAAGGGGTATGTGTACAATATGTTTTTTTTTTCTTTATCTTTCTTCACTAACGTGCTCTCCCCATGGATTCATTTCAGGAGAACGACATAATGCCTGCTTTCATAGCTCGAGGTGCTTGCATGATGGAATCTGCATTCAAATATCTTCAAAACCTGGTTATAGATGCAGCTGCGCAGGAACACGATTTTTCGGAGTTCATTGCGATAAACGTAAACATCAAGTTTAAAAAAAATATATTATGAAAAAAAATATGCATTTATAACATGTGTATTAACTGGGGTAACTTTTTTTTCAGCATGTCCTAAAGTAGTAGACCCACAAGATCCTCTTCAAGACGTGTGCGTTGTTATATGAAAACCAAAGAACTCAAACGCTCAGAAAAAATTGGTGTTGAATAATATTATGACATAAACTTGCTAGACGTGAAAATGTTGTACATAATAAATTAAATAAAGAACGAATGAATAATCCAGATAATGTGAAATTATTTGATGCTCGCAATTTTTATTAATCAAATGAAAATTTACAGTAAATTACTTTTCTTTCTCGAGACAAAATTATAACAAGCACTCAGTTTTCTTTCACTCATCTTTACTTTATACATTATTTATATTTGTTTTTATTTTATCTTTAATCGGATGAAAAAAATATTGTTTAAAACTCATTCTTTCATCAAAGACAACGATGCGAACTTTACGGTTGAAATTTGATTATTTATTATANAAAAAAAAAAAAAAAAAAAAAAAAAAAAAAAAAAAAAAAAAAAAAAAAAAAAGAATAAAAAAAATATAGTCTTTTTGTCCAACTCGTTACTGCCGACTCTGCGTCTTGTCATTACAGTTTTTTAGTTCTTTTTCAATTCATTATATCTGTCTTAAGTTTGGCAAATGTTCTTAGTTTCTCGTTTCTTTTATCTTAAAAATCGTAACAATAAAATAATTGATAATTATTATCATTAAATACGCGAATCTCGGCGTCGACACGTGCATGGACGAAAAACAGATGGGTGTAATTCGTGGTTACGTCTCATTTCCCTTGATTCCCTTTATTAGTTAAAATTTAAATATTACTCTTCGATGGCACCTGGTACGCGCTGCGTTCGTTCTTGACTAAATCCCTTAGTTCCATCTGGACCCTTTGGTTGCCTCACGACGATTAATTTCGGCCCAGAGTCATCTAAAGATACCGTACGCAACCGACTTATGAGTCGTTCGGGCCGTTGTTGTTGTACAGCATCGCTGTAGGACAAAAAAGTAAATCAAGATTCAGTAATACTGCAATAAAATGAAGAAAGTTTTACCAAAATTGAAAACTAGCCACTTACTTCAAACGGACGACATTGCACGCAGAAGATTTGCCAGAACGCTGATTCGTTACAAGAACGAATTCAACTTGATCGCCGGGCTGTAGCTTTGCATTATCGCAAACTTCGCTCATATGGAAAAATAATTTTTTGCCTTCGTCGACTTCATATGCTAAAAAGCCAAAAGGACCTTTGACAGCATCAACGGTGGCCCTACGCTTTTTTCTCACTGCCACGATATTACAGGCGTTTCCGTCCGAGTCAACCTGGAACTGCACGGGATCTCCCGTCTGTAGGAGCTCGCGTTTGTTCGACAAGCCCATTATGCCAAACTCGTATTCCGGTGTCTCTTCGTCCTCACTCGTCGGATTCACTTTAATCAGGCCAGCGTACTCTGGCTGATCTGGGTTTGCACTGCGCAGTGGACGAATCACGGTACCGTCCAGAACATCGCCATCCACATTAGGTCTAGGAATGGTGCCTTTTGGTAGCAATCGCACAGAGTCGGCAGCGGTGCAGCCACCAGCTGTTCCTCGGTTGTTGCTTCCTAAGCCAACACTGCATTCAACTTCAGCGCCCAATTCCAAACTGTTGGCGTCTCCATCGAAGTAGCTGAAGTTATTATTAAAAAATTAATTAAAGTTATATTTTTCTTCCTGTTATTTATTTTTTCGAATGTATTAAAATTTAGAGTTACCTAAAGTGAAAAAATATTTCTTTATCATGATTGATGGTTTCAATGAAACCAAAGCCATCCTTAAGAGCAGCAATGAATCCTTGAAGAACTTGTCCACTAGATTTCTTATTTCCGTTTTGAATTTTTTCTCCACTCGGACTTAAAAGTGAAATATCTACAGCAACGAGTTCCTTATTACGTTTCACTTGGCAGACACTGAATTGGACCTGTAATTGAAATTTTTTTTTTTTTTTTTTTAAAGAAAATTTTTGTCATCGTTAATTTTCAGAGGAAATATATGTATAAATACAAACTTTATCATTCAGTTTCGGGATATTCTTTGATTTACAATCTTTAGCAAAAAATATAATTGTTTTTTCTTGATCATCCTTGAGGTAGCCTATGAGACCGGGTTCGTTTCCATTTATGTCTTCAACTACGGTACCCATAATATCAGATTCTATTATGGTTTCAAATTGAACACTACCCGGTGGCAAGTGTTTCAATCTAATGCCGCTTTGTCTTGTATTGGAAAATGACGAAGAAGGATCCTAAAATAAAATATTTGTCTTTGTGTTTGTGTCTTAAATAAAGGCATAATATATGCAACATTTGGTGGATAAATACTTTTATAACAGTAAATTCTACTTCATCTCCAACACTGATTTCTCTGTCGACGTCTAGCACCTCGTTAAAATGAAAGAAGAGTCTTGATTCGCGATCAACACAACGAATAAAGCCAAAACCTTCCTTCAAAGCAGCAATAACACCTTGTTCGCGTCTTTCACCAGATACCGAAAAAGACTCGGGCAAAAGTGATATTTCGGTAGCTCTTTTTAATTGATCTCTGGTATCTGTAGCAATTCTGAACTGAACCCAGTCTCCGTGTCTGCAAATGTAACGAAAATCATTACTCGCTTTTGAATAACAAAAATAAGGCCGATGCTTTTTATCATCATGGCAGATATATTTTACCTTAATGTAAAGTCACCCTTTTGATCTTTATCACCAAAAGGCACTTCTACTTCCGAGTGATCAGGTGCTCTATAACGAATGCGACCTGGTAGTGGATCACTTTGGTGTCTAGCTGAAGTTCCTCTCTCAAGTGGTTTTAAAACTTGTCCTTTAATAACTTCATCGCTAATCTCTTCAAAAATAATTGATCCTGGCGGCAACTTTGTTATATTACAAGCTACTTCTTTACCCTAAAATAATAATTACGATGACATGCCGTATTAAATAAAGCTAGATTGAAAATTACACAATAATCAGGCTCCTTACATTTCGCGTTTGTATAATGAACTCAACATCGTCGCCAAGTCCTAACTCATCTTTCATAGACTTGGCTTCGCTAAAGTGAAAGAATATTTCTTTAACAACATCGGCTCTTTCAATAAAACCAAAACTTTCCTTCATGGAACAAACAACTCCACGATAACGGACTGGATGAACCGGGTTTTCTAATCTAATGTGACATGCTCCCAGGTTTCCACTGCAAAACGTATTGACGATTATAAATAAATCAATAATAATAAAGCTGCAACACTTTTGAATTGCCTTTACCGTTGATTTGTAGCGATTTGAAATGAAACCTTATCACCGTTACGCAGAGTTACGTTCCCCTCAACATCGTCTTTGGTATACGGTAGAAAAAAACATTCACCTCTGTTTTCATAGCTTATCCGACCTTGAGAATCACCATTAGCTTGCAATTCCGTAGTTACGTTACCAGTGACTCGTTCTTCACTTAAAACCTGAACGATTTAATAAATACAATTTATAATGATTATTGAAAATTCTTTAGAGCTGACAAAGTATATGGAAATTTTTTTTCTTCATTACCACTTCGGGTGCAATTTTGCTGACAATGCTTGCAATCGGCTTTCCAGTTCTACGATCGTACGTCATTTCAAATTCTACGGGATCTCCGATTTTCAAATGTTCAATGTTACCGCTGAATTGGCTGAAGTGAAAAAACAGTCTTGCTTGCCTCTCGCAACATTGAATAAATCCATAAGAATGCTGTAATTTTAATAAATCAAATTTAAAAACACGTATAACATGGAAAAGTTGGGATTTTAGTGGAGATTCTTGTTACCAAAAGTTTTTCGATGATGCCAGTTTCGCGCGTTCCCTGATTCGCAGACTGATCTTGATAAGAATTATTTGTTGACACTGGCTCCCCTGAATAATTTCCACTTGTTTCCAGATTACTATAAGTTGTAGACGAAAATCTTGATGTTCCATTGCGAGGAGACGTTTGTGCGCCTGAATAATCGTTAAATGTTGCAGAATTTTTTCCACAAGCAGAAGGCGAGTCCATGTAGTCACCACTGTAGTTGGTACCATTCCGATAATTGTTAACTTGCTGAGTACCTTTGGGGCTTGAAATGGACATGGACTTGTATTCTAATATTGCTGGGTCAGAGTTCATGATCGGCGGCTGGAATGGTTTCCACTGAGGATTGTTGGACATGTCTTGAATTTTTTAGTAATTTTTAATATCACTCCCTACTATTTCAAAGTATATATATTTATATGTATATCTGTCTTTTTGTTTGTTTATTTTTTTCTCGTTGCAGCTGATGGAAATGATCAGTCAAACCTTTTCGCCCCTAGCTCTTAATGGCCTAATCAGCCATTCATGATATTATATTATACTTATACTTAAAAATTTTAGTCTTTTCAATTATTTAAGTGTTAACATATATATCACAGAATGGTTCTTGGTACCTTATATATTTCGTTTTTTTTTTTAATTTTTTTATTGTTATTTTTTTTTATTACTAACGATTTTACGAAAACTTGTGAAAGAGGAAGAACAGCTTCTTGAAGAAGTATCACCCAAAAACTTCAATTACCTTCCTTTCTTTTCCAAGCACGAAAATCGGAAGGAAGGCCAATGCTGTATCCTTATAGCTGCAACTTGGTAGTCACCTTATTTTGTTTCACGTATCATCAATACCATTCATGGAGAAAGCACTGATTTTTAAGGCAAGCAGCTTTGATTGGTTGGCACTTTTTGAAACTTTAAAAGTGCTATTGGCATATACTTTTCTTCTTCCTGTCCTTCAACAGTTTTTTATATTTTATACTCAAACGAATTTTATACCTTAGGTCTGCTGAACATTATATCATTTGTTATGATGCATCACTGATTCTTTTAGAGTGTATAAAATTACCAGTTTACTCATGTATTCTTGGATACCACTGACGATACTTTCCATTCGCATGCACACAAATTCTTTGTTAAAAGGCAACGAACAACTTTGTAACTGCGTAATTTTTTTTTTTTAGATTACTGGTGATTTAATACTTTGAGCATGAAAAATTAATCAGAAAATAGAGAAAACTCACGTTTTTGCTTAAACATCAGTCATCCCTTATAATAAGGTACAAATCAAAAGTGTTAAATGTATCAAAGAATAAAGGTTGGTGTTGATTTAAAATCCTCAGATGTCCTCAATGCGTGCTGAGTGTGGTTGTGTCGCTTCTGTAATTTCTATATTGTCCTTTTATTTTTGTTCTTCGGTTTTCAAAAGTTGAATTTATGGTTGAAAGTTGTTTCAAAAGTTTCTTAAACTAACAATTACACAAGCTGAAAAAGACAGAGAAAAAAAAAAAGGCTCGGTTATGAGGGTGGCTTTTAAATTGATCATTTGATAAAAATACAGCGTTCAATGACTGTCCAAGATTTTTCTAGGTCATCTCATGTCGATGGGAACGTTGGACATCATTGGACGATATATTTTTTTTTCCCCTAAGCACAAAGGAAACAAATGGAGGGCCCCAGGAGAGAGACACACAGGCCACCATGGCTGGCAAATTTTAGCGATGGAAAAGAAAACAGCTAAAGCAACCGAGTGTAGTACTTAGTGGAAAAATTGTCGCTAATACCAAATGAAATATTTACATGCGACATTAAATGTACCTACACTCTCGAGTTGCGGGATACATGTTAAAATCGAGAAAAAGAGCACGGCGAGAGAGTAACGAGGACACGACCGACGACGTCCTTTAGGATGAAAAAAAAAAACAAAAGTCCCACGATACAGAGCAGGATATAGAGATAATGGTTGGGCAGCAGGTAAAATTACGTTGCAGCACGTGAACGGATAAACGGGCCCGATCAGCGCTGGGACGGCGCGTTCTGGAGCACGCGCGAAATCGTGTCCACCGAGACTCGTCTCGTCACCTAGCAGGTATAATTGTTGTGTTGTACATACATCCGAGGAGTTCGGTTCGAAAAATAAGTATATACTTAAATATACCGTCGGGGGAATCTCTCAAAGTTTTTTTTCAATTCAGTGCAGAGAGAGAGAGAGAGAGAGAGAGAGGAACACCGAATTTAGGGAGAGAGAGAAAAAAGGAGAACGAGAGAGATGGAGTGTTGGAGCGATGGAACACGGATGGTCGGTAGACTCGAGAGAGAGGTAGCCAACTCGAGCGAAGATTGCCGGGCCCAGGAGGAACAGCGGTCCCAGGAAACTGACGGGTCAATAAGCGGACGAACTGGACTTGGGGCTCGCGGCTTCTATGGGCGCGGTTACGCGGCGAAACGGGCCTCGGGCCCTCGGAAAGACTCACCACGACACAGCACAGCACTGACGACATGCCGCCATGTTGAATGTCAACATTAATTTCAGCGTTCGTGCGCTGATGGTTCGCTTATTCGCTTCTCCAGCGCAGCGCCGCCGACGCCGCATCGGCCACTTGCCCCCCCGTAGCGAAATGGCGAAATCCGAGCCGCGCCAATCGGCACCTTGCTTTGGCATGGACTCGCGAATTTCCTCCAATCACGGAGCTCGTGACCGTTTTTGCGCATTCCCCTCTGGCCAACCGGCTCTTTGGATTTTGATTTTCTCCCCCCCCCTTCGCAATGAGGTTTTTTTTCAAATTGGAAAAAATAATGGGAGAGAATATTTTGCACTGCTTATAAAATCTTTATTGTTGAGCACTTGAAAAATGTATGAGCTGCATGAAAATGCTGTCGTGTCGATTAAATGCAGGTGGATGATTAGTGTCATTTCGAGGTTGTTTTATTTAAGCTTCAGTTGTTTCTTGCTGTACAAATTTTGGATACTTTGCTTCAACCTCGGACCACATGATTTTTCCTAACGATAAGTCTTTCACGATGTTTGGTAATTCCTCTAGCTGTACAATAAAACAATTTTCAATCGTTAATACTAATTGTCATTTGTTACGCTATTTAGAAATTAAAGTATATTTCTATTTTACTTACGTTTATTCTCACTTGGCTCATGCTATCTCTTTCCCTTAAAGTTGCACTGTGAGGTTCCTTTAGGGAATCAAAATCTATCGTAATACCAAAAGGAATGGCAATTTCGTCTGTTCTCGCATATCGGCGACCTATGCTGCCAGAAGAATCATCAACTTTGTGAGATACGTCGACTTTTGTGAGATTTTGAGCTGCAAATTAAAAAAAAAAAATCATCATCTCTGTTATTTTATTACTACTATCGTGATTGTTTGGGAAATTCTACTTACACAGCTGTTTAACGAACGGAACAAATTCAGCATTTCCACTAAGTGGTAGAACAGAGCACTTTAAAGGTGCTACAACGGGTGGTAAGCTAAAATACCTTCTTTGCTCATCACCGTCACGCATTTTGAAATTATGCTCAAAAACTGCATACATGATTCGACCAATGCCAAATGAAGGCTCAATTACTGAAGGAACAAATTCTTCGACATGAACAGTTTTCTGGTATCTTTTAATTGCTACCATATCTTTTGTAATTTCATAACTAGCACCAGATACTTTCAGCTCATACTTTCCGTTATCGTTCAGATCTTTTTCCAAAATATCAAGGTTTTTTTCTTCAAGCTCGGCAAGTGCGTCCAATACGAGTTTGGCTTCCTTCCTAAAGGTTTTTCCAATGATGCCGCGATTCGGAGCAGCTTCACATATGTCTACTGTTTTTGGCTGTGATAATTTTTTCTCGGCAACTAATCTGACTCCAGTAGCCTTTGTATGTTGAGTTAAATCATAAGCTGACCTGTCAATTTAGTTACATCATTAGTAATAATAAAAAATAAAAAAACAACAGCTAATAACACATTTACAAGATAGACAAAAATATACATGCCTGTCAGCACATCCAACGCATTCTACCCAACCATACGAAGTTAAACATTCTGCATCCCAGCAGTCACAGGCATAATGAGCCATTTCGTTTCCCATGTGTTGTCTAAACCTCAATTTCTTAGGATCCACTCCCACTTTGACGAGGAACTTTTGTATTCTGGCCATAAAATACCCCAAGGTTTCATTTGCCACGAGACCACTTTCCACAGCCTGACCAATAGATAAATATTCCGCACTCTTGCCATCCATCTGATTGCAGGCCGAGTAGAGCAGAAGTGTGGTTTCTTTCATCAAATCAAACTTTGGATGCTTTTTGTCATTAGGATCGCAAAAATGTTCGATTTCTGCCATAGTGAACTCTCTGACTCTAATTAAACCAGATCTCGGAGAAATTTCATTTCTAAAGGAATTTCCGATTTGAGCGGCAGCAAATGGCAATTTATCTTGGTTAAATTCGAGGAGACGCTTAAAATTAACAAAAATACCTTGGGCAGTTTCTGGCCTTAAGAACCCTTTGATCAGTCCTGTAGGCCCAATTTGAGTGGCAAACATTAAATTGAACTCGATAGGATCCGTCAAATCATTCCCGGTAATTGGTGATTTGATGTTAAATTTCTTAAGAACAGCACCCATCTCATCTTTAGTCATACCATCCAGTCTAATGACAATATCTTCGCACTCTCTTTTGGTCTCTTCGTTTGTTTTTTTATCCGCGCATACCTTTTCCAAATGTGCTTTGATCAAATGATCGAGCCTAAAACATTCTCCGTTTTTTGTATCTTTCACCATCAAATCCGCAAAACGCTCCACATGTCCGGATGCTTTGAGAACAGGTTCAGGTGTCAAAATGGAACAGTCAACTTCCAACATCTGCTCTTCGAGTACAAAGAAATTCCTCCACGCGCCCAGTAGATTTGATTTGAAGGCACAACCCATGGGACCAAAGTCATACTGGCCAGTGATACCTCCATAAATAGCAAACGATTGATCAAAGAAAAATCGTCGTTTCAACAGATCTTCCATTCTCGCCCTGTCAAAGGTAGCCGAGTCAGGAGTCAGCGCAAGTTCCTTGTCCTCCAACAATTTTTTGCGCATCTTAAGCTCTGCCACGGCTTTTTTAACGTCCAACTCTGGTGCTCCATCCGCCTTGAGTTTTCTCACCAAATCTCCCTAAATCAAACGCAATCGCTTTAGCAACTTGGCTAATTTGCATGAGAAGGAAAATAAACAAAAAAGGGGTGCAAAAGGATCCGGGCATATGGTAAAATTTACCTGTTCTTTGACGTTGGCGCGCAGAGGCGCGAGCTCAGCCTCGATCTTTGGATCCGCCATGTCCAGGAGGGAAAAGTGTAGCTTGACCTTACGATGTTGCTTTTTGGTACCCCAGGCGGATGCGCTAGCGACGTTGACGGCGGCCGCGTGGCTCTTTAACCTGACTGATGTTGCGGCCAAAACTGCGTTTGCGACGCTCGTCGGCAGAAGAGTCTGACAGTGCAGCTGATGGAGAACGGCGACAGTGGCGGCGGTGGCGGTGCGCGGAAAAGGAAATATTAGCGCGGAGCGCCAAAGCCGGCTGCAGTGCATCCGCAAATCTTTCTCTCGAGCTCTTCTTTTGATAGGTTGCTGCAGATGGGATCTAGTATAATACCTTTCGGTCGACCTTGGCCCGGTATGCCTGTCTGCAGGTTAACCGCTCACTGTGCCGTTCACTTTGCACTTTCGCCGCTTTGCAAAGGCTCGAGGAAGCAGATGTTGGCACCTCTCGTGAACCATGCAAGTATAGCAATACTGGGATTTTATTCCAGGATGCAGGAAATTTGAGCAACGCAACTGATGCAACTTGAGTTGTCTTTGTTCAATCATTTTGCAATATTGCAATTGCAATAAATTATTATGTATATATAATAACGTTAACGCGCTCCTCTCATATTTTTTTTTCATGCACTGCAAAGACGTCTGCTCTTGCTGTAGCAGACAGCAGCACACGAACACGACAACATATATATGTATAATACGACTCCGAAAAAAAGTCACACACACACACACACACATATATATATATATATATATACGCTTCAGTCAAATTGAAAGTTGTTTACGAGAGAACAAGATCTAGGAATCCAAAATAATAGAAAATTTACTAATAAACTCTATGTTAAAGATTCACGATTGCCACAGAAAAAGCGTTGTAGTAAGTGGGAAACGTTGTGGCTGATGAAATATATGCGGAGCTGTACATGTATATTTAATCCAACTGAAAATTGTCTTAGTGAATAAATGTATATATATATATACTTATTGTTGACTATTATGTAATAAGTATGAGAATATATACCCCCTTTATATTTAGCTTTCAAATGTGATAATTGAGTAATGAACTATATATGGTATGTATATACACTTCATTGTTTACCGATTTTTCGAAGACTGCGTAAAATACTGCGTCGGTAAATTAAATGTGCGTAAGCAGTGATGTTATATTGCAATATACACGGCATATTATAATGAATATGCTTTTCCTTAATTATAAATAAAATAATGAAAAATAATGAAAAACATTTTTATTCGGAAACTGTAAATTTTTACATTGAAATGGAAAATGACTCTTTTTAAGAACCACGAAATAAGGATAGGTACAAGTATATTTTCTTGCTTCCCCTTCTATTTTTAAAAAAGTAAAAATAAAAATCTTGTTTCGTAAAAAGTGTTATTTTCGTAAAAACTGAAAAAATATATATATATCTCTGGAAAAAACGTCGTAGACTAGATTTGTTTCTTACAGTTTTGACTTTGCGTTTTTAGAAAATAACGAGTGAAAAGGATTTCTAAACATAGGTAGGACTTATCTAAACTGCCTCACGTTAGTTGATGGGTGATTATCAACAATAAACGATGTACATGAACCTGTACATGCATCAGGCAACGAAGTAAACAATTCGGAGCAAGGAACATAAACGTTGTAATATATTTTAATACTTGGCTCTAAAAAAAATTAAACGAATGAACGAATAAAATGTATTAAGCTGCACTTATTGTGAGTCGCTTTTGTTATCTGTTGTACGTGCCTCTTTCTTTGAAAGTAGTAGATGATTCATTCATGAATAACTTATGAAGTTTTTTAATCTTCGATTACAACACATAAGTACCCCGCTTTCCGGGGTTTCTCTTTTATCAAACGGCCGCTGCTCTTATACTAATGCAGCTCAGCTGGCACTCCAGACGTCCAGACCCTGCAGACGCGCTATCACGCCACAAAAGCTATATAGCAACGCATTGGGTGCAACGGTGCAACGTCACATCTTTTATAATCCGATTGTTGGGCGCTGACGCGCTTGGGGTTCTCGTGTACGCTGCATCAGCAGAGAAGCTGACGGTAAGCAGAAAATTCACGCGTTTATTCAATAACTATACTGATTATTTTGTAATAGTTTGGTGTGCAAAAATAAGTCCTCACAGTCAAGCGTAGACGTACGTCCATGATAGAAAGTTTGTTTTCTCTGTGCTCTGTGTGCGTGCTCCCATCTCCCAGTCCCACCAGCATCGTCATAATAATAATAATAATATTTATCTCATCGCAGATCCTCCGAACCCGAAGCTGTATAGCTGTACTATATACGTGTAAGCATAGCAACTGCTCTGTGCACTACGTCGGCTGATGAGTTGACCGCGTGCCATTGACACTGACGCTGCTGGTGTATGTGTGAGAGGATGCTTCTGCGAGTGATCAGTTAATATAATTTTGGGGAGAAGCAGGAAGAGTCGCTCTCCGTGCACACAGCACTTCTACAGACAGCGTAAAGAGGCTGATAGACGAAATCCGCTTTGGAGCATATATACCAAAATGTCACACCAGACGGGAATCAAAGGTGACGAACATCCTCCCTTTTTTTAATCAATTGGACATTTTATCTACTAATTTTCTTTGTATGATAATTTATTTCTTTAGTTTTTTTTTTTTTAATTACAAATTTATACTTTCTTTTGCAGCCAATGAAGCCTTAAAAAAAATCTTCAGCAAGTGCAGGGATGGAAAAATCCGTGTCCTCAAAGTATCTATTGAAAATGGTAGGCTCAGTGCTCAACCACATTTATAATGTTTACTTTGAATTAAGTATATATACGTCCCATTCTTTGTATCGTTAATTTCTTTTATCTTTATTGACACAATTTGTGCACGTATTTTTTTGCATTTCAGAGGCATTGTCTCCTTCAACCTCATCTAAACCTGTAAAAGACTGGCAAAGTGATTATGAAAAAATGATCAAACCCCTTATTGAAGAGACCCAGCCAGCGTACATTCTTTTTCGACTTGACACAAAGTCTCCTGACTCTGGTTACGATTGGTTACTTATATCTTGGTCTCCGGATGTTGCTCCTGTTAGACAGAAAATGTTGTACGCCTCGACTAAAGCGACTCTCAAGCAAGAATTTGGATCTGCATCTATAAAAGAAGAACTTCATGGCACTGTTCCAGATGATATTAATTTAGAAGGTTACCGTAAACATAAGAGTAATGACGCGGTTCCAGCTCCATTAACTTCTGTAGAAGAGGAACTTGCAGTATTGAAAAAGACAACTACTCATACTGATTATGGTGTTGAAACGAGACAGCAAACCATAAGTGGCGTTGCATTTCCCGTGACAGATGAGGCAAAGCAAGCAATCTCAGATATAGGAAAAAATGTTTACGAATACGTACAATTAAAAATTGATCTGGAGGAAGAAAAAATTCATTTAGTAACTGCAGGTGATGTTTCATTGGATAAACTTCCTACCAAGGTACCTTCAGATTCTGCGAGATATCACTTGTACAACTTTAAGCACACCCATGAAGGAGATTACATGGAATGCATAGGTAAATCTCTTACAGTTATTAACCGTTTTAATAGTTCAAGTCAACAAAGTTTTTGATACACACATTTATTATATTTTCAGTTTTCATATACAGTATGCCAGGATACACTTGTAGCATCAAGGAAAGAATGCTGTATTCTTCGTGTAAAGCTCCTTTACTCGAACTGATCCAGTCTTTGGGAGTAACAATTACAAAAAAAGTAAGTAACGTTTTGTTTTTTTTGCACTTTTTCTACATTATTGTTTTTAATAATAGATTAATTATCAGCCCAGTTTAAACTTAAAAAACTTAGAAATTTAAATTATTTAAATGGTAAAAAAAACGTGTATAGTAAATCATACTATAAAATAAATAACTACAGAGAAATTGAACAATGCATGATGTAAAACAAATACAAAGTATTATGTACCAAGTGCCTGAATTAGATACATTCGTTTTATAATCATACCAAACTTTCCACCTTAGAATTGTATGCATATCATTACGCTGTGCGAAAACGCCACTGGCAAGTTTGAGACAGACGAAGCCTGGCCTATACTTGCTTGTTTTTCATCGTCAACCTTTCCATTTGCAAAAAATTATAAAATTATTTTACACACAGTATTGTGAGTGTAGCCGTTCATATATCCTAAATGAAATACTAAAAATTTGTTTGATACGAAAGAGGTAGAAGGAATGTTTGTGTACCTCTTTCATGTGGATGTGTGTTTATTATCATTCATAGCAGTCGTTCTTTCTTTTATCACAGAGGTGGATACATTCGAAATCTCGATCGACATTTTCAAATTGTTAATGTATGGAAGAGATATGTATTTCACAGATGCATGATCGCGAGACATGAGAGATGGAGAGCGAGAGAGTGATTTAATGTTTTTCATCTCTTCTTTTGTTCTTTGATTCATGAGTGATTGATAAAATACATTGTTTGTTTTAGTTCGATGTAGTGCTCAAGTTTTTATACGCTTCAATTATGTAAATAACGCTGTGCAAAAAATTTAGTAAATTTGGTTGGTAATATAAATACTGGGCTGTATAAATAAAATTAAAAAATTGTCAACAAAAATTGAAGTATATAAAAACATGATGGTTTACGAAGGATCTCACTACTTTTAGTCAAGTATCATAGACTAATTTTTATATAATAGTGAAATCGACGAAAAATTAATTTTGCTGCTCTCAAACTTGCCTTGAACTAAATATTTTAAAAGTGTTTTTGTATTATTATTTTATTTTCCTCAACATTCTAAAAAAAGTATGCTTTTAAACGTAAGTTACAAAATTTGGAAAAAAAAAAAATAATTTTGTCTGACGAAACTGCGACTGATCGCAGTTGGAAGTGACTAACGGTGAGGAGTTAGCGGACATGTTGGAAGACCCGCTGTCAGAGGTAGAAGGCACAGGTACGTCGACACCGGCAACTCCGTCGACCCCTTGCGCACCACCAAATACAATAATGCAAAAGAAATCCAAGCCGAAGCGATCCTGCATAATAAGTTAACAGGCCTAAAGCTCCTTGTACTGCCTATACTCGCACCATCTAATGACTTTCTTTCAATTTCAAAGAATCAAAGACGGCAATAACAACTCAAAGCGTTTACCAAATGAAAGAATGAGGAAGAGATGCAAAGGAATAACGTCCAAAACTTCGGATTTCGATCTTGTGATATAGAGTAAAAATTTCTGAGATATAGATATATAAACGGATATATATTTAAATACAATCTTTACAAAGATCGTATTCCCTCAACTCTTTGAGATTGTAGGATATTAGTCTATGAAAGTGATATATTGGTTGAGATAAATACAAGTATAATGTAGCGACAAAGACGACGAAAAAAGAAAAAAAAAAAAATTAAAGCAACAATGTATTTTTCTAAATTTTTTTGGAGACAATCTTTTTCATTGCACAAGTTATTTTATTATTCCACATGGAAGTATTTTGAAAACGAAAACGAAGCACCGCACAAAATAACTTTAAATAAATTATTTTTGAAAACCACTGAAAAATTAATTACGACTTGCGCTATTAAAAAGAATTTCTAGAGTTGGTTTACTTTCTAAAACTAACTCCATTCCATGGTAATTTGAAATTGCGCGAGTATCCTACAGTGCAAAGTTAATATAAGAGTTTTATTCTGAAATTTGCAAGTGATATTATTATTATTATTACGAGATTCTTTAAGATTATGGAAATTCATAGTTACATTCAATTTCATTTTTAATTTTTGTAAAATTTTGAAAATCCCGTTACAAACTATTGGTCCGATTTCCCTTGAAATGAGGTATTTTTCTAAACTTTATTTGTGATACACCTAGTTTTCAGTTATATTTTTTTTCCTATTTATATTATTTTTTTTAAATATTCAACTGTACAAACGAACCTGTTTACTGTGTACCGCTCTTGAAAGTTTTAAAATAATTTACATATGTATGCTATGGCCCGAGAATCAAGATTTATTGTCTGAATTGATAAAAATTACAGTGCACTGCCACATTAGTTACTAGTCCAGTGATGCCATTATTGTGATGTTCTTACGTGATCACTTAACTATTCATCAAAATTAAACTTAAATCGAGGTTGATTTCGGACATCTGTGGGAATTTTTTTCCGTAAAAAGTATTGTAATCTCAAAATAAAGTCTCAAATATTATTTTCTTACAAATTTGTATACAGTTTACCATTTTCTGACTAATTTTTATTACGAATATATTACAAATGGATTTGTAGAATGATTCGAAAAATGCCGATACCTAAAGAGGTTGCTAAGAGCATATAAATCTTATTTTCGTACGCTGAAGATTATACGAATGATTGTTATTTTAAAGATTATTATTAATTCTATTGATGAATAATCGATAGTCAGTTCATTGAAATGCCATGTAATAGAATATAAAAAGTTGGAGTATTTTGAACGCTTAATAAGTACAATGTAATCAGTACTAGCTTATATTTTTCTATATCTTGTGTCGATAAAAATAATGTGCAGTCATGCGATTATAAATAATGCAAAAAAAAAAAATTTTTTTTGATTAACTCCAGCTGTAAAAGTATCTTTTCAGATTTCATTTTTGTGCAAAATACTTTGATTGATAAAAAACCAATTGATATTGGTGATTTTCAAATTAGAACTGCCGTATTTTTAAATCTTTTATTCGAGATGCCAATTAAAAAATCGAAAAAGTGATCCATTCAACAGAATAATTTCAAACTGTATGATTCTTAAAAATAAGAAATAGTTTGGATGTAATGTTAATATAAATACTTTTACTGCAGGCCAAAATCTGTGTAATGTCTCTGATATTCTACTAGTATCAATGACAAAAGAAAAGATGTATAGAAAAAACAGGTGTTTAAGAAAATACAAACAAATAATACATATTTTTGTACATGTTTAATCGAACATGTAAATTTTCTGTAAAATATGTATGTCCTCGTATTTTTATAGCCCATCAAATGTCGAAATATTGTTTATGTATTCCAAAAATGGAAGAAATGTATCGGTTTCAGTGTTTAATGTAAAAAGTGTGATTGTGAAAAATTGTAATTTTTAAGACTGACTATAATTTTTCCTGTTTACTTTGAATTTTCGTGTATGTACAACTAATGTATGATAGATGTAGTTTCACTAACATTCCAGATCTGTGAAAAACTTTTTAAAAATAAGTATTCCACTCTCAAAAAAAATTATAAGATACAATAGGTAATAAATCTCACTATCTTGAATCTTTAGAGGACTAGAAAGCCAATGTATTGGCTAGACTTTGTCGTAGTTAATCTTTGATTAAATAGATGAGTTGAGACTATTTTTCAACGGAGTTTTATGATCCTAATTACCTGGTCCTCTAAAGGAAAAAAATAAATTTCATTGCTTGCAATGAAAAGTTGGAAGAAAATGGAAAAACCAAATATAGAAATATAAAAACATAAAATTAAAGAAGTGCATCTATTTTATGTGATCGGTATTTTTGCATCTAATGTGCACTTTAAAGTAATCGCTGTAATTTATCTTAATCAAAGCAATCTTCCAAATATTTCGTAATTAAAATCAAAATTATGATGACAAAACGACCGAAATGAATAACCATACAAAAAAATGCGTGAGATTTTTAACCATATACAAATACAAGCAATTATTATTGCCATTTTTTTTTAATTTATTGATGCTTGCCTGGAGCTGCATAATTACTATTATTATAATGATAATGATTATTACCACTATACATTCTTACAATTGAACTATTACTATAATTATATTAACCTTAAATCTTGTTAGAAGAGCGATGCTTCTTCCAGGCCTATTCTGTAAAATCGTATTTATTTTATTACGAGATAAATAGTTTTATCCAAGTGATTGCCAAGCTTCAACAATTAACCAATCGTCATTGTGAATAAATAAATTAGGTTTAAGTGTATATCTTGCCAATGATACGCCGAGCATCGAAATATAATAAAATGCTGTTATTAAATTGTGAAATGAACTTAAACACTCTTTTATACTACTTATTCTCCCATTATCATTTCATTATCAAATACAGAATTGAAGACAAGAAACCAATTGGTATGTAAAAATTACTAGTGCAACCGTTATAAGAAACAAGTAGCTTACACAATAGGCCTGAAGTATTCATCAAATTTTAATTTACAAAAAATTGTTTTTCTCACTTACTTAAGTTGACAAGCAAAGAGTACCTAATATGATTCTTGAATTTTCTTGTCTTTACATAGCTTGAAATAGATAATGGGAAGGATTTGACCGAGGCTTTTCTTCAAGATGAACTTCACCCAAAAGTAAACTTGCACCGACCAAAGTTTGCCAAACCAAAAGGTCCACCAAACAGAGGTGGAAAAAGACTAACCAAAGTCCAGGAAGCTGAGACTTTAGAATAAAAATAACATTTTATCAAGTGCTTCCTTTAAGTTTATTTGTACATAAAATATATGTATGACAAAATCGATTGCAAGACATTTAGATTTCAAAATCACTTAATTGCAGAATTTTTGATCTTCAAAAAGCATATTTTGTCGTGATAAATTATGCTTAATTTTTTCAATGAATACATACCTACTGGAATTCAAAGAATAATATACAAAAAACAATCTACACTGTTCGATAAAAATTCGGCCTATTTTAAAATGATCACTATTGTTTGACTTAACCGTCAATATTATTAGTTTAGTTGTCAAATTCTTTTGAAATGCAGAAGTAATAATTAAATTATTGATGAATAAAAGAAATATAGTATCTGACAACGTTCCTTGAATTTTCTTTCATCCGTTATTCTAAAATTATATTACATTATATTCATGGTTCTATAGAGTAGATAGAAACTGTATTATTGTACAATTATTTATAAGCATTAATAAATGTGTGATAAAATCAAAAATTTAATCGTTATAATTGATTTTATAAACGTTGGTCTTGAAAGTTCTTTTTTTTTTACTTTTCATAAAAAAACTTAAAAATGTTTTCAATAACAATAGTTTTATTACAATGTCAATATATATAAATAATTTTACAAATTTGACCTACTGCCGATGAGTTGACTGACAATCATGCTCAATAATGTCTCATGGCTTCTACTAACTCTTTTTCCATTTTTTTTTCACTTTTATATTTCATGCCTGCAACGATGGCTCTAAAAATAAAAAATAAACTTATTTAATTACGCAACGTGTACATGAGAATTGACAGAGAAATAAAATTAAATAACATACTCTTCCCGTGCGGCTGCTCTCTCGGCTGTCAATAGTCGAAGTTGCTCTTCAGAATAGTTTGTTATTTTAAATGTAACCCATTTAAAAGCTCCAAGTATACTTCCAAAACAGCCTCCAAAAAACATTCCCGCGATCATACCCTTGGAGCCTAATGGAAACTTGTATAATGCTCCTGCAACTGACCCTGCAGCCGTGTAGTACATCACTGAATCTTTATTATTATAGACTGAAATAATTGTATACGTAGCCCTGAAATCAACTGATGAACATTTATACTTTTGATCGTAAAAACTATTGATTTTAAAGTACATAAATATGTATATATTACGATAATGCTCCACAGAAAACAGCTACTTTAAGACCAGTTCTCGTAAATCCTTGCATAAAGCTTGTAAACATTTTGTCCGATAGTCTTCGTTTGGCATCGTGTTGACTGATAAATTGTGTGGCCTCATTATTTTCAATGAAACTTATGAATGTAGTTCTCGAAGTTGTTGCACCACCATAAAGTCCTCCCACTATCAGTGCAGTTATTGTATTGTGTATTGTCGTTATGACTGATGGATGAAATAGACTATTATCTCTTGAACCAAATAAAATAGCTGGTATATTAACAGGAATGTTTCACGTTATTTCTTATGTGATAAAAACTTACTGTTTCTTAAATAAATTTTGTAACCTCTGAAAACCAGTTTGATTGGCAACGTCACTGGAAAGTGCATTCTTATCTCTGATTTTGTCGAAAGGATTTTCTTCCTCGAAAAGAAGAGGTACGAAAGCAAAATATTTGTTTCGTTTGATAAATCTAATGATCATTTTGAAATATATGTAACAACTGTTGCGTATATCAAACGATATAGAGCTGCACAGAGAGATATCAACCATACAACTGCACAATTTTGTAGTCTGCTAGATGTCTATATATATACCGTGCCACACTGTGCCACATATATACATATATAGGTATATTTAGGATACATACTCACACACTTTTGCAATGTAAAAGCTAAAAAATTGACTAATAGACGAACCCAATTTTCCAAAGTAAAGCATTATTAGCTCCAGAAATTTCATTTAAAAAAATCTGAATCAAGTAAACTAGAAAAATATAATGCGGTTAATATTCTCATTATAATATTAGTGCTATGTATGCATATAAGAAAAACTAACGACGTGGAATCGGTGGAATGTATGCTTTAACCGATTTCGGAGTGAAAAAAAAAACTTTATTTCTTATTATTGGGAGAGATTGATGTTCTACAAAAATTGCTGGAATTTAAAAATGCTCATCATTTTTCACTTAATATACTAGTAACTGAAGTTCGACATAATATATACCCTATTTCTCTACTGTACAACAAAAATTGACGATTTCCACGAGGACTAGCACAATTCAATTAACATTGCTATCCAGGATGAAGGAAAAATCTAAAAAAATTCCCCGAAAAACATCCTGAAAAAAATCTAATCTCAACTGCCTCGTACTAATTGTTACTAAGATTGTTTTCTCAGTAAAAATCAATTCCAGCGAAATTCCGATCTTCAATGTCTTGAAAATTGTTGCTTCAGCTTATACTGAGACTATCAAAATGTCTTATTGCAAAAAATGAACAGTTTTCAATTTGCGTTGACATAATTATTGTATCAATAATGGTTATTTCTTTTGTTTTTCCATTGAATTTACAAGACTCAAATTATTTGTAAAACAGAGATGGCCTGTAAAACGGTTTTTACCGGTAAATATTTGCATTTATATTTTTTTATTCATTTTTTATTGTTACTTTTTAAATTGATAAAAATTTTGTTTTTTAATTGTAAATCGAAAGATTTTATTTATATTTGTTTGATGCTTTGACTAAATAAATTGTATAAAATAAAAAGGTCAGCCATAGCAAAATCATTTTTCGGTCAATTTCCAACGATCACCGTTAATTACAACGCTAGAGTGAAGTCAAATAAAAAAACGCGGGATACGTTGTAATACATTTTTTTTGAGATTCAAAAATTTTGTGTGGCGTTATTTTTCTCTGTAATGTTTTGGTGCTTTTTTGGAATCTCGAATTATTTTCTGTTTTTAAAGAAAAACATTTTTCGCGCTATTTTTGAATATTTTGGTAACTTTGAACTTTTGTTTGACTTTCCAAAGAGAAAAGTGTAAACAAAAAAAAAAAAAGTTGCATTTCAATAAGTTAAGCAACTTCCTCTCAGGTTACGTTTGCGTAAAATATCAGCTTACCAAGTTGTAGCAAAAAAAAAAAGTAAATTTTTTTAAATCAAAGTGCAGAGAATTTTTTTCCACTCATGCAACAACTCCAAGTGGAAACCACAATGTTCCAGCATGAAAAAATTACCACCCATGCAATTTTATCTCAAACGGTGTCACCCATAAATATTTTACTTGCTTATAGTTTTTATCTAAACACTTTGAGTTGATTTTTACTTATTGAATAAAAAGTCCTCCCGGCAAGTAAAATATCAACCGAATTACGTGCAATGATACGTTTTCTATCCACGTTTCATGGTGGATCGACTGACAATTAATACCCTCATATCGCGACGCGACTTCAAAAATTCTTGAAACCCCTTGAAAAAAAACTTAATCGATCAAAAGTTACATTCACTCAAACTACAAGCGTCGATTGTTTACAGTAGAAAGTGTATAGGATGTACGAAGGAGGCGTTTAAGTAGTAAAACCAGTTTTCGGTCAGACATCGGCGACCCATGAGCGCCCCGAAGAGCGAAAGCTTTTATATTGCCACATTCGATGCTTATAACACACACACACACACACACACACACACACACACACACATATGCAGGTAAGCTATAACCGCGTTATGATATATAATTTTTTTTTTTTTTCTATATATTATAGTGCTTTACGTCCGGCTCCTATAAAGGGCAGTACTACACAGGGCACTTAGCACTATAGGGAGAAAGGAAGGGAAGAGGGATTGGGGGAGGGAAGTAGGGGGAAATCAGGCAATTTCGCTGCGAGAAGGTCGCCTAAACCCTCCTCGAGGAGCATTGCGCGGTGAGAAAAGCACACGTGAAATCTCACTGATATACAAATAAAGTACAAGAACGGGGAGGGTGAAAAAAAAAAAAATAAAAAAAATAAGAAGAAGAAGAAAGTGACGAGTCATCAGAGGGAGGCTCCGAATTATATCTCGGGAGTACGAAACTCGGCTCGTGGGGGTAGTAGTATAGGTACTTAGCAACGGTGGTGTGGGGGGGGGTGTCGCAGGCGCAAGCGCAGCAACGGACCGTGGTAGGGGCGAAAGGGGAGGTAGGAGAGGAATTAGGGCTGCTGACGAAGAGTCGGCGGACTCGGGAGTACACGGGAGTTGAGTATACATCGTAAGGAGGCGAACGCGCGAACAAGAGGACTCCAAAAGAGGAGGAGGAGGAGGAGGAGGAGGATGATGGTGGTGCAGCAGGTGCTGCCACTAAAGCGCTGATGCTGCAAGGGGGAGGCGCTCTAACCGTGCACAGGGACGCGGACTCTCGTTTGTTGTCGGCTGCAGCATCGCCGAGGCCCGACACTCTCCTCCCTTCAACCAGCCTTCCCGTCGTCGTATCTCGGTGCTTCGTTATCGATTAAGTATCCGCTCCTGTTCGGGCCATCGTCGCAGTCCCGTCGTGCCCCGCTGTGCGCGAGTGCGTGCACGCGAAACCATATATCGGCAGCGGCAGCAGGTGGCACACGTACGTATGTATGTGCTGCTGCTCGGGGAATCAGCCGAGGACGACGGGTCCCCGATCCTCGTCATCGACCACCACAGAGCCAAGTCGCACTAGTGCCATATAGACCACTGATTACTCTTTCAAGGCTGTAGCACCCTCGGCACAACCGAGTCCAACGCTCTGTAAGTTCTTCGTATGTGAAACGTTGTACATATAGTTAACACTTTTATATGTATACGTACGTGCGGGTATGTCTGTGTGTTCACTGTTTTCCCATAATTGTACATACTATATGGTATATACTGCAGGTATACCTTTAGAACTGGCCACTGATCTTTTTTTTTTTTTTTTTTTTTTTTTTTCTCCTTCCTTCCCACGACACAATGTACAAATGTAGATACAGTGTCGCGTCTTATCATTGCCAAGAGCTCGTTATAACATTGTTGATCCACAATTAATAAGATCACGTTTCATTGATAAAATTATCATGGCATACAACAATAGTAATAATAAATAATTTTTTTTTTTTTAATACGCTTATCTCATCCAACAATGACTATGGAACAAATCACGCGCACAGGGTTTTAATTACCATCCAAATTGTCGAGCTCTTTTAATTATACACCCATACGTACTGGGTAAGTATATGGGGATGCTTTATCCCCCCTACGGGGAAGTAAGGGACATATATAAAGAAGTCAGTTGCTGTTCCTCCTGACTGACTGACCTAGCTTCTTTCATTAGTAGCTACGACGTACGGTATGCGTATGTGTACGTATGTATATATGTATGTCCACCGATATGAGAAAGACGTGCAATTCATATATATATATATTGGTTAAGCGAAGATGTATATTATTTGACACAATGCGCGCTCTTTCGATGCATCAAAGACAGAGCAGAGAATATTTAATTTAGGTATCATTGCAATCTATATACGTGGCAATTCTCACTTATGGAATAGAAAAATTTGTGAGCACAGATTGAACAGGCAACGTTATCAATTTGATATACAGTTGTACATACGAGATTAATTTTTCGCGTTACGAAATTGTTAGTATTAGGTAAGGTACCATCCCTTGGATCAAGTTTCTCGTGTGCACTTGCACCTATGAACTTATACTTACTTCAACTATACGACTGTGGCTCCAAGCGTATATACCATCACAGCACCGCGATACCGGTATATAACCGAAGGGAAACGGTGGCGCGCGGAAAACCACTGGTGCCTGTTGCGCGCTTGTATAATATGCATCCGTGGGACATACTAGGTATAAATATCGTACCCCCTGCAGCTGGTTTCGCCTCTGCATGTCTCTCTTGCACACGAGTGCACTTGAGCCTCTTCCGAAAGCCTGTCTATATGTATGTATGTGCCGTTATCGCTGTCGCCGCGGGCCAAAAGTGCCGTTCTCGAGTGTCAACTTCGGAAGGGGGGGTATAGAGTTTCGAGTGTCTCGAGCCGAGAGACAAAGCTCGATCACGTGGTCGATCGTCACTTTACGGGCACTCGTGTATCTCGTCCCTCTCGCTTTTTCTTATGCGTATATATGTATATGAACGCACGTTATATCTGCCCGGTCGTGACGTGCTCGATCGACCGTATGGTTTGATTTATTTTCAAAACGATTTGGTTAATCGCTCGTTATGAGGTTCAATGGTGTACGAAATATATATGAAAGTTTACTCGCGCGACGCAGTGTCTGACTACACGCGGACTCTGACTACTTACGTGTAGATTCACGTACCAAAATGTGTATTTTTTTTTTTTCCTTCTGTTTTTACTCATATTTTTATTCTCATTGTATTTATTGTTTCGTTTTGTTTTAGTGATCATAATTATATTCGCAATCAATAAATTAGGCATAAATAATGAACGGGGTTGATTCCACGGAATTTTTCGTTTTTACTGGCAATGATTAATTTTACAGCGTGTATATAAAAATTGGATAAAAATTCAATACAGTAGTTGATCAATTCAAATGAGAGCATTTACTTGTTTGTTTGAGGTGGAAGTAGGAAAGAAAAATTAAATGGTTTGAATTTAATTACCCTCACGTGTATGTTTGAAAAAAAAAATTGTCATAAAAATAAAACCACTTTCATTTTATTTGAATTCCATTGTAGCGTGTGTGAAAATTGTTTTCTTGCATCAACTTACAATCATAAGCAACAACTTAGCCCTTTGCGTTGATCAAACCGATAATTAAAAAAAAAAATTAAAGTTTAAAACCGTTAGATGAAAAAAATTTAAGATGAGGAAAAATTTCTTGTGAACGTTTTTCCGTATAACTGAAAGGAGTAGCTAAACGTTGCAGGGCTCACAAGAGCCGAAAGAGCCGCGAAAGAAGAAGCTAAAGTAAAAGTGAATAAGCAGTTTCTCCCCTATTTTCTCTCCCTCGCCCTTGTTTTTTTCCTCACCGTTTCAAACGTATCCAGCAAAAAAAAAAAAAAAAAAAAAACAAACGAAACGTGATTAGGACCAAGTAGGAAGAAAAGGCGTCAGTCTTGGCAGTGCGCCAGATATACAATATGCTCCCACCCCCCCCCCTTTTTTTAAAAACAGGTATACACCTACTCCCTCGCGCTCACATTACTACGTCAGTTTTTTTACCACCAGCAGTTTGACCTTTCTATACGTATATGAGCAAGCAAACGCTCTGTTGCTCCCGCCCACCTCGTCATTCAAGCCGAGATACTCGCGTATATTCATTATTGTAATGGCTAATCATACTATACATTCGTACTTGCGTCATCGGCCGGTTTTCAATGTTTGTAACTGACGGAATTCCCCCCAAACACCGTCTCAAATTCTCGAGTACAGTTTCCCTGGTCCCCCAAAGTTACATTATGTAGCCTCGCAAATGCCACCCGATGCCACCGTCAAAGGGACACGCGCGTTCTTTGCTCTCGACGCTTCACAAGAGCCGCTTCTCTCGAGTTGCAAAAAAAGCCGATTTTCGTTGAAGGCGTACATGGTTCCCGGTTATCCTATTGACGAGTTTTCGCAAACTATACCCCCGGTTTGATTAAAACAATATGCACCAGTGAAATCGTCCGACTGCGGATGCTTCGTAATTAACTCGAGGGAGGAGGAGGAGGAGGAGGAGCGTTGAATGACGCGCGGGAAAATAAGTGGAGGGAAACGAGGCCAAGCACCGAGGGGATGCATCAAGATAATGTACAAGCCCCGTCGCTGTGCCCTTCGCGTCATCTTCGGGGAAACCGTAGATAGCGGTTGGGGCGTAATTGGTATATATATTCCATTGAAAATTGAAGGAAGCGCCGAGCGGTATCGACACGATCGAGATGCTTACCAAGCCTGTCGACGGGAAAATTGCGATTCTCCAACAAACGCTCTGGTACATCTCATACTTGAAGATGTTTTCCCCCTACCTCATTACCATTCGCCTGTAAACTCCAATCGAATGCATACATATATATAGTATATGTACATAGTATATACCTACTTGAGGAAACAAGGATGATGAGCGCGTTTTCAGAAAATACGATTCGCTGGAAAGAAGAAAAATATAATACCGCCGATGATCAGCAGTTAATCGGTGGGTCGAGATAAGCAATTCATCTTTTCTTCCACAACTCACCTCGATTTCCCTGATTCAGTTGTTTGTTGCCCTGTTGGTATAAATATGTATGCACACATGGCAATGGAGATTAATTTGCCATTCGGTCTGAATCTCCGTCATTGTTCGGGTGATTTGAACATACGATGTATACCATCTGCATACCGTATAGGCGTTGTTGAACTCTCATATCTCGCGTGCCGCCGTCATTTCCGACGTCAATTACACAAGGTATGAGCTTCGTGCGATGCGTAATATATTAGCTTGCGTGCCTCCGGCAGGTATTTACTCGTGAAATATCTAAGTATAATATAGGGTGACTTTTTACTCGTAACGCGTGAATATCCGTTCACTCGCTGATGAGTGGGAGAGTCTCTCGGAGCTACGGTCAAAGTCCTTTGACGTACAGCGAGAGAAAACATTCATTGTACACTTTTTTAAGCAAGCAAAAATAAACTCATCAAAATAAAGATGAATTTTTCTCTCGCTGTGGACAGATAATGCGTAACAAGAGATGCGTGTATACTGAGAGTCAAAAGTATTATCAAAATTATACTGTGCTACAAATGGTACCTTATCTGGCACTACTCCGTAGTTTTGACTACTGTTTTGTACAATAAGTTTTATTATTATACAAACGGTAATTTACTTATCGTTATTGGGAACAGTGATTTTTCCTGTTTTATTTTTTTTGTGCTGCAGCATGAATTATACTGTCCAACAATTGAATGATAAAATTTAAATTACCGAAAGCGAAAAAACTCTCATACACTAGGAAACGATACTACATTATTATTATTATTCCAGGACAGTAATTGTTTTTAATTTGTCTTGGCGTGGGTTTGCGTTTGAATTGTATTTTTTTTTTTTTTTTTTAATTTTTGCTATACACTGACAACGTCGTTGGTTCCAGCAACATGAAGCTGGATTTCATGGACAGAGAAAAGGGCCTGGAACTGTTTCGCAAGTTCATACGCACGAAAAATGTCGCCAATCTCCAGGGCGAACAACCGAGAGCTGGGCCCGAAAAAGCCGGCTCGAAACAGAAACTACAGGTAAGCCAAAGACAAAGTACGTGACTTTACTCTCTCACCCCCGAAAACGCGGTGGCTCATTGTATTATATCATTCGAGGAAAAAAAAAACTGGTGTTGAATAGAAGATTAATCGTGCATGTATGTATGCATGGGAGGGCGTTGACGGGGACAATGATGGTGATTAATCGGTGGGGGGGGGATACGTGTGGATCGATTGCAGAAGTGCCTGACGACTCTGGACCTGACGTCCCTCGGCGTGGGATCGTGCGTCGGGACGGGAATGTACCTCGTCGCCGGAATGGTGGCGCGGCGCTACGCGGGCCCCGGCGTCGTCGTCTCCTTCATCATAGCGGCCATCGCATCCATATTTTCCGGTAGCGTACACATATTTATACATACCCATCATTGCACGATTACATTAATTTTAAGTAGTAGTTGATTATATAACGTGGTGGTGGTGGTGGTGTGTTAAGGGGCGTGTTACGCCGAGTTCGGAGTTAGAGTGCCTCACACGACGGGCAGCGCGTACATGTACAGTTACGTGACGGTGGGTGAACTCGTGGCTTTCATCATCGGCTGGAACATGGTGCTGGAGTATCTCATAGGGACGAGCGCGTGTGCTTGCGCCCTCAGCGCCTGTCTCGACGCCATGGCCAACGGTGCGCTGTCCGGGGCCATTGCCAACACCTTTGGCACCATTTTTGGTAAGCGTTACTTTATATCAATACCCCACGTGTATCATATCATTCGCACGGTATAATAGTATTCGTTGCAGCGTTGAAAAATGTATGGGAACTACATATGTCTTAAATCTGATTACCATCGATCAAATAGCGTACTCTTATAAGTATACACCGATTTGGGCATCTGGATGGTTTACCGAATAATTTGCGTTACGCGATTTTCGTCTAAAATTACGGTGCCATTTTTTTTTTTTTTTTTTCGTCACTTGCAATGATTCATATTTTGAATAAAGACAAACAATCTTACTACCCAAAAATGTATCTGTCAAAATACATGCTTTTTGCTGAAAAAACTGTTCGTACAGTTTTATTATTGAATACAAAAAAAAAAAAAGGAAATTTTAATTTGAAAACTCTTAAAATGCGTAAAATAAGTAGTGCTCGCGTCAATACGTACACAAATTAATAATGTAAATAATGGACAATATAGTAACATATAGACGTGAAAGAAGGAAAAAAGTAAAGTATACGATGATTAGGCGCTTGCGCGGTCGAGTCCAAGCCAGTAATAAAAAAAAAGACTCTTGGGTTATTGTGTGTATACATATTGTGCAGCACCTGTGGACCCCCTCATCGATCCTCCCCCCATTCGTGCGTGCACGGATGAATACACGCGCGCCTGCGACACTTGTACCAAAACCACCCCGACATAAAATCCACCCCCGCGATCGCCTATATAGCTCAACTGATAGTGTATATACATGTATCATCTGGAGCTACGACGCTGGGAGAGCCAAAGCGTTTTATCTCCCTTGATCCTTTTTCTTTCTTCTCCGCTGCGGCTATCCAATTTTCCCCTTCCGGTTTTTTTCTCTTCCTTTCGACACTAAACTCACCCACCCCCGGTCAGCTGTCTCACTCTCTCTTTTTTTCCTCGCCTCTCCGTATTACGGCTATTTTTTATCACCCTCAATCTTCTTCTTCCACCTCGATTTCCGGAGGTCCCGATCGAGACTCTACATTCATCCCCCCCACGGTGTGGAGGAGGTACGAATGAGCTTTGAAAATATATGTATATAACCGACAGCCTGTTGGATGTACGAGAACGACGAACCTCCCCCTCCGCAAAAAAAAATAGCAAAGATCAGCGTATAAAATATACGTGTACGAACACAGACGCGCCAATGAGTGTAGGAACAATGAGAACTTTGGACAACAAACAATGTAGTGCTGTGGAAGAAAAAAAAAAATTGTGAGGCGCGAAAAGCGGGAAAAATTTTTTTTTTTTTTTTTTTTAAGCATCGTTAAGAAAAAGTTTTTCACGCGCAACGCGAATATAAGTTATCCGGGAGCAGTTTGGGGCGTAAGTTTTTCTCTTTCAAAAGGAAAAAAGAAAAGGTAAAAACGCAGATCGCAGCTCGAGAGGCATACATGTAATATTACGTTGATCGTAGGGATTTTCCGATCTCGTTACATATTTTCCTGTTTCCCTCCGAGAAGTTATCTAGGAACTGCAAGCGATTTTGTAAAATCATCGGATGAACTATGTGAAATATGGGAGAAAAAAAAAAAAAATGACCCACGCACGATTTTCCAGGTCGTCCACCCGACGCGATAGCAGCTATAATAACCCAACTGATGATGCTACTGATGGCGGCGGGTGTAAAAAAATCCTTGGTCTTCAACAACGTCCTGAACGCCATAAATCTCGCGGTGTGGGTCTTCATCATGGCAGCCGGGATGTTTTACATAGACACGGACAACTGGTTCGAGCACAGGGGCTTCCTACCTTACGGCTGGAGCGGCGTAAGCATCGCACACCCAAAAATACACACCCACGAATCGTGAAAAAACCATGACCAATATATACCGATCACCGACAGGTTTTTACGGGCGCTGCGACGTGCTTCTACGCGTTCATCGGCTTCGACATAATCGCCACGACGGGCGAGGAAGCCACGAATCCCAAACGAAGCATCCCCATGGCGATACTCTCCTCCCTCGTCATCATACTCGTCGCTTACGTGACGAGCAGTCTCGTTTTGACGTTGATCGGTAAGAACAACTTGCTATAAACACACACGTATAATGACAGAGACGATAACGATGACGGGAAAAAAAAAAAAAAAAAAAAAAACAACTTGCAGTCCCGTACGACGAGGTCGACCAAGACTCAGCGCTGGTGGAGATGTTCGGCCAAGTCGGGGCCAACAAGTGCAAGTTCGTCGTGGCCATCGGAGCTCTCGCCGGTCTGAGCGTCTCCATGTTCGGCAGCATGTTCCCCATGCCGAGAATAGTCTACGCAATGGCCCAGGATGGCCTCATCTTCCGGTACGTACACCCTAACAAGCCACCGTAGGGAAACAACACGGAATAATTTTTCGATCCCACGCGCCAATAGTCAGCTCAGCCAAGTGTTTCCCCTGACGGGTACCCCGGTCCTGGCTACCCTGACCTCGGGTGTGGCCGCAGCCTTGGCCGCGCTTCTCATCCAGCTGGAGGTCCTCGTCGAGATGATGTCTATTGGTACCTTGCTCGCGTACACCCTCGTCTCGACGTGCGTGCTGATCCTGCGCTATCAGCCCCACTCGACGAACCTCGTGGAGCTGCTGCCCCAGAGTCTGCGCACACCCACGAGGGACGGCCCGGGTCAGAGCAAGGGGCCTACCGGGGCCTCGGCAAAGTCGGAGCTGCGACCGGATCAGCTGCTCGGTGGGGCGGTCCTTGGCCAGGAGCACCTGGGCGGGGGCGTCGGTAGCGACGGGCAGCGGATCATGGTGCGCCGGGTGCGTCGGGCCAACAGCTCGTCGCCGGACTCGGACGATACGTACGGAGGCGACGATGAGGACGACATTGGCCTGGTCAAGGACGACCAGTACCTCGTGAGCGATCGCACGGAGAACAAGTTTTACGGGACCGTGCACGCAGCGTCCGGGGGCTACGCGAGTGCCCATCAGTACACCGGGGACACGCCCATCATCGGGCCGCCGCTCAGTTACCTGCAGCGTAGACTGGAGGTTCGCTTTTTTTTTGTGTTGGTATATAATCACTTTTCTTCGTCATGTATCAGCCGGTTGATCATTCGCGTGTACGCAGGCGGCCCAGTACCTGTGCCCGGCTCTCTTCCCGTGGGTCGATCGGGGACCGGCAACGGAGCAATCGGGTCGATACGTTATGAAGCTCGTGGGCATTTTGTATCTCCTCATTTTGGTATTCGACCTGATCATCGTATGCGCCATGGGTGAGTCTTATATATTTTCATCCATCATTTCACGGAGGCTATACTTATTCTAAATTAAAAGTAAAACATCTCTTTTGTCTTCAAACGATACTCTTTACAAAATATCCGGGGTTTTTTTATTGTTATTATTGTTTACTTGGAATTAAAAAGATATTGTTGCATCAAAAAGTGTCTCCTTGTTTGAAATTAACGTCCTTTGAGTCAGAAAATACACATAATCTCATTTAGAGAGATTTTCTGCTTGGAGCTATTCTAATGAAAAAATGTTTGATTCTAAGTTTTTTTTGTTTTTTTTTTTCCAATGCAACAACCTTTATTTTTTATTTATTTATTTTTTTCAACGCATTATATCATCGAAAGCCTCGTGCACTCCATATATTTTAACAAGCCACGAATTGACCACAAAATCTAGGTAACATGGGTGGTTTCACGAAATTTTTGCTGTTTCTTTTCTTCGTGGCGATCATCGGTGTTCTCCTGGCAATAAGTAGAAAGCCTCAAAACAGGTGAGCCATCATCATCTTGTCCACAATTACATCGAGGTGACTTTTCCAATATTTTCTTTTTCCATCCTCCCCCAGGAACACCCTGATGTTCATGACTCCTGGACTACCATTTGTCCCGGCCATCGCCGTTACCGTCAACATATACCTCATCTTCAAGCTGAGCATCCTCACCCTCGTCAGATTCACCGTGTGGATGACCCTTGGTGAGATATAATACATCTTACACCATTTGTTCACACAAATATAAAATGACAAAAAAAAAAAAAAAAAAAAAAAAAAAAAAAAAATACACCACGTGGCTTGCAGGCTTCATAATGTACTTCCGGTACGGGATAAAGCACAGCAGTCTAGAGGAGAGTAACGAGGAACCAGCACCCGACGAGTCAGTCGGGGTGGACAACATCGAGCTGAGGGTGACGGAACCAGCGAAGCCGACCCAGATCTCATCGCCGTACGCCCACTCGGACCGCAGCATCTACGAGACGGATCAGCTGGACGCGTTCGGACAGCCGGTTTTTGGCAGCACCAGCTTCGGGGGTGGCATGCAAACCCGCTCGACGGCTCAGTCCAACCCCATGTTCATGGCCCAGGACAACTTCCCCACCTGGGACGACTGAATCGCCAGCCCCCCACAGCTTCCAAATGCGTTTGTTTCTTTTTTTTACCATCCACAGCTCTCGTGTTGTACAAGTACCATTATTTCTTTGTTTACTACAGCATCGTCGACTCACACATTACGATGTTCGTTACGGTACAATCTAAATCTTCAACCAGTGGTTTCTTAACTCTATATAACAACTCGTTAGCGTTTGATTTTTCTTTTTCTTTTTTTTTTTTTTTTTACGTAACCATAAGCATAATTATACATATTTAAGCCAATCGAAACAAAGGAGATATTATGGTGCAGTAGATCGTGTACTGATACCACACATATATAATATTATACTACACCGCTATCGCTGCTACAAGCAGTATATTATACTATATATACTATACAACTTCTGGCTCGTACAAATGCTATTTATAATTTTTATCGACTGACAAATCGCAAACAGCAATACTTCATGTCCTTTCGAAGGAAAATGCTGATATACTTACACACATTGCTGCGCTGTCCACGTTGTCAGTATTATTACATGTGATGTATGATTAACATACACTTTTTGCAGTTTACGTTTTAAATTAAGTCTACAAGTTTTTGTTTTCAAACAAATAATGATTCATTATAATTATTAATGATGGTTGAAAATTGAAAATTTTAACGAAGTATATACAAATACACAAATATAATATCGACTGTGCTACAAACACATATCACGAATAAAATTATTACAATCGTACTGGATAAGGATCGAAGAACTGAAAAAAAAAGAAAAAACTGATCATATCGGAATTTTTTGCCCGACTTGTACTGTAGTTATTTTGATGCATATTCTGATACTCCTGATATTTATTATTAATGTCTACACTGTGTAAACACATTTGTTACTTCGCGTTTAATGTTTGAACAGTATATACATAGTCATTAATTTCATCATTATCACACGTAGTTTTCACCCTTTTTTCTATTCGTACTACAAATATACACTATTGTACGTCAACACATATCGCAAGCATGACTTACTTATTTTTATTACTTCTGTAGTACTTTTCTGTACAATTGTTTACTGGTTTCTAGTTCCTTATTTAGCACACTTTAGTTTTAAAACTAAATTTTTTATACGAAATTTGTGAAAATTACGACAACTTTGGTTTATAATTATCGAATGACGTAATTTTTATACGAAAAGAAATTTTATTGTGCGGCCAACACTAAAATTTTTTTTACTCAATATTATCTATTAAATACATAAATTACGATAAAAATACGAGTCTTACCAAATATAAGATTTAAAAAAGAAAAAAAAATTTAAACTTGAATAGGAACTTTCAAGGAAAAACCTTCGAGAAACATTATTTTCCCTCATATTTGTTTGTGCTTCCATCCATCCATTATACACCTCATATTATAAATATCACACTGACACTTGGATAAAATGTCGAAGACATTTGGAAAAATTCCACAAATGCGAGTAAAACTATACCGGATGATATTTTTATTTTATCTTATTTTAATCGGCAATTCCTTTGGTTAACTTCTTTGTGAAATCAGCTAAACTTTTTAAAAGCAATCAAATGATGAATGCATTGCCCATAACTAAGTCCTAAATTCTCCCAGGACGACCCCTAGTAGACTCAACATGGAAGTTGATTTGTGGTGCAAAAAAAATCTCTCTCCACCTCGATCAGCTGCGAGGCTTGGAGTAAATTTCAGTCGGAAAAAACTTTGAAAAATTTTTAGAGTCAACCCGATCTTCATCCCACGTCACTCTTGAGCACCTCAGTATATATGTACCTACTGAAACAGTATCGCAATCTGTAGACTAAAATTGTAGACATTGAAATTTGATTGTGATGTTACGGGAGAGACAACATATGTGGCAATTGCAGATGAAAGATATATTATGAGTACTCGGACGATTGTTGATTAATTATTATCGCGGCAATATATTATCATGTGCGACATTATAGCATCTTGCGATTGTTGATGTAAGAAAAAAAAAAAGTCATAATAATAGAAGGATGAAAAAGTATATGGATGCAAGAGACGTAAAAAATATTTAAGAAATAGTACATAATATAATTCGAGTCAAAGAGACCATTTTAATGTAAGTTTTAATATATATTAAATCATCTCTATTTATATATATGTCTATTACAAGTTTCAGTTGAAATCTTGTTGACGTTTAAAAAAATCAATTAATAATTACGCGCTGCTTTCAGCACGTAAAAAATAACAAATATATATATACAAATAAAACCGTTACTCCTTATTACAATTGAGATATATCATCGAAAGCCTCGTGCACTCCATATATTTTAACAAGCCACGAATTGACCACAAAATCTAGGTAACATGGGTGGTTTCACGAAATTTTTGCTGTTTCTTTTCTTCGTGGCGATCATCGGTGTTCTCCTGGCAATAAGTAGAAAGCCTCAAAACAGGTGAGCCATCATCATCTTGTCCACAATTACATCGAGGTGACTTTTCCAATATTTTCTTTTTCCATCCTCCCCCAGGAACACCCTGATGTTCATGACTCCTGGACTACCATTTGTCCCGGCCATCGCCGTTACCGTCAACATATACCTCATCTTCAAGCTGAGCATCCTCACCCTCGTCAGATTCACCGTGTGGATGACCCTTGGTGAGATATAATACATCTTACACCATTTGTTCACACAAATATAAAATGACAAAAANATAGTGTGCTTTGAAGATATTTCTTCAATAATTTATTGTTCGAAGTACTTCATTATATTCTGTATTATTTATGAAAAATATGACATTGTGTAAAGTAATCCTTTATAAGCTTTTTCTGCAATTTATATAAATTTTGTATGTAAAATACAAAATTACCTACTTTATTTTAAATGAAGAATAAAAAAAAAAAAAGTGAGAAAAGTCAAATTTTTTAAGCAGGTAACGAGAAAAAAAGTAATACGCATCACAATGATATGAATAAAAATTATGATGTACTTATAATGAAATAACTCTTGCCATTTGCGATGATTTCGAATGCGTTATAAGTGTATATACATTCCTATGTATATATTGTGCACTTTTATTAATGTAATAGCATCTCTCGTTTCAATATTGTTCTGTGAAAAAACAGTGCCTGTATACCCCAGACGCTAGAAAAAAAAAAAAAAAAATTAGTTGGTCGACTTTCCGACGACTCTGTTACCTAATTAAGTCGATCCCACTCATATAAAATCTATACGCATATTATTATATAAAAAGAAAACGAGTACTTTTGTCTACTCGACTTTCTTTGTAACTCAAAGTATAATAGATACTCGAGAACGACTATCACTTTGCATTAATTTTTATATTTATTTAAAATTTAAAAAACGAAAGTACTTTTGGGGGAGAAATATAAGCGGGCACTAGGCAACTTTGTTAGTTAGTGAGTACAAGTGGAATCGAACGAACCATCGTAGATACACTGCAGTACATCTATTGTAAATCCATTATAGATATCACATAAAAGTTTTGTGACATTAATTTATTTAAGGAAAAATGTGTTAGCTCTAGATACTTTATACATCACAGCTAAAGTAGTATGTCAATGTTTCAAACTGATCCGCATTAAATGGGCTCGGCCTATGTTTTATTTCAATGCAACCTCGTAATTTTGCATGTATGACACGCTCGTGGGATGTTTAATAAAGCGAGGATTTTTAAATATTATTTCTTTGAACAACAAATGCGTCTTTTTGTTGAATTGCGGAAATGTTACATAAACCCAAATAAGAATGCTGACGTCTGCGACGTTGTTACGTGTTTTTTTTAATTTTATAGAGTCGCGATGAAAAAAAAATGTACTTACTTATGCAGTAGATAGAACAAAAAAAAATTATTTCTGTGCAATACTCGAATCTTCCGGAAAGAGAAAAAATTTTAAGATCCGTTGGATGGTTATAGTAATACTATTGGAACAAAAGAATCATGTCGACTCTAATTGTAGTCTGAAGAGAAAGAAAATAGGTAGGTATGTAAATCTCACGTTACCGATCCGATTAAGCAATGCACACAGCGAGTCTACGTTGTTATTCTAGATTAATGCGCAATATGTTACACATACGCTATTTAGTTGCTAAGAAAACACTAAATCATGCAATAATTAATAGAGACAAGCAAATAATGTTGGAATTATTATTGAATTCGTCGTTTGAATTAATAATTGTTTTTGATCGAAAAATATCGACTGCTTTAACATTTAACCATTTTATACACGTACAAATTTTATTTTAATACATACGATGTTTTAATATGTGACAAATGTTCCTAATGTGTTAACTTTACATCAGAATATTTATATTCCTTATTGAGAAATCTGTTGATTGATAAAAACAAACGTTGCCATTATATTTAAAATATTCTACGATACTTATTCTTGTATATTTGCGTTTTAATCAAGGAACCAAAGGTGTTGTTGGTCAAAGTTGTATTTGAGAAGAGAAAAAAAAAAAAAAACAGCAAACTTGCGAATTTTCAGTAAATACAAAAATAAAATTTATTAAGTGTAAACTATTCGCACATACGATGCATCGTTGCAATGTATACTTATTATGTGCCATGCGAGCATAATGACTTCATCTCTAGTTCATAAGACTCATGAAAAAAATGAAATATGAATAAAAATGTTTGAAAAAAATACTATCTCGTGATTTTTATGTCTTGTTTTATTATTTTTATTTATTTTATTTTTTCTCCTAATGCTGTTCATATAAATTTTTACATTATATATTATTTGGTTACATATTACTTGCGAATATTTGAAAGGCTAGAAGAAGCAAAGTGAAAAAAAAATCAATAGCTTGGAAATCCAGTACGTGCGCAACTTCTCAAATCATGAAGAATTTCTAAAAAAAAATAATTTTAGAAGTTAGATTTTGTTTGTGAATTTATTTTATCAAAGCACTTATATCGATCTATTATTTCAAATTACGTACCTCCGGGTTAGTCTTTTGGAAACATTGAACGATGTTGAAAGCCGAATCGCAAGGATTCTTTCCAGCTGTAACGCGAAGTTTAAAAATTAAGGATTTCCAAATTTTTCTTTGTGTTAACGTTCAATAAATAAGGCTATACTTTAATAAATTTTATCCTTACGATCGACAACAAATATTGAAATTAAATAACGATTAACAATTCACAGTGTTGAAATGATAAGAAAAACTTAACATTTTCCTTATAACAATTTATTAAAAACTTACTAAGATGACGACAAGCGTTGATCATTTCCATTGCGTGCTCCATGTACGCTGGTGGGATTTTCGCAATCATCTTGTCAAAGTCGATGTGTCCATCGTGATTGAGCTGTTGTAGAGGAAAAAATTATAACGGTGAAATTTTATAAAAACCAGATTTTACCGTACGAATCCTCCCATGTATATATGTATACACTTACCAAATCGAAGGAGTTGAAAAGGCAAGAGAAGTAGCAGCCGAGCAATTCACTGGGATGGAAGTAGCCTTCGACGGTTTTGTCGACGTGCTCTTTCAAAAGAAAATTCAACGTTTAATAGACATACTTAGAGAAGATATAGCTATAAAATCCGTTGACTCGGCTACCAACCGATATCGACTCCAGTTTCCCTGTGGCATTTCTCGCGCAGTCCTTCCACGAGGCCCTTCAATTCCTCAGGGATTTCCTGCGGCAAAAACAACAAATATACGCGCCGATGCGACAATACCAAGGAGACGTGAGATAATGTCGGGATAACTTACACCAGCGTTAACCCGAAGAGCACCAAGGCAAACAACCAACAGGCACACGGCTAAACTTTTCATGTTGGCGAAAATGTTGGACTACCCGCAAAGTCGTACTCAGAGGGACTGCAAAAGTGCAAATCAAACTGTTGGATGTACCTCCGAGGTGTCGTTCTTTTATACCCGATTTTTAAAATAATGAGCGACTACGCGAACGGAAATTACGGGCGCAGAGCTCGCATGACTGTGGATAACCGTACGCACAGTGTACACACGGTAACCGGTCATTTTGCACGTGCACGTATATGCATGTATATATATATATATACGGCTGAACGTTGAGTTTCGACAATCGTGTACACGCTTATCCGATCTTGCCGAGTAGCAATTTATTAAATGCCGCGTTGACACAAAGGATGTCGAACAGTGCGTACGATTAACTAATTAAAAATTGAAAACAATTTCGCATAAAAGGAAGGAGGATTGAGGCGCAAAATATTTTGGTGGTCGCAGAAAATGATTGTAGGCTTTGTTGTTGCTTTGATCGTTTATTTTTTGTTTTTCATTCGAACATACTTTTTTTTTCGGCGGAACCTCCAACTCGAGTATCGCGTCATATGATCACAGCACTGATCGTTTGGCGTTGATTTTTACAGATAATTTTATTGTTAAAAAAAAAAAAGGTACAGCAAATGAATAATATGATTAAAGGAGCTTTGAGTGACAGAATCATGACAATGTCTTTTACTTGAGCGTAACAGTGTGGGCAAAACAGTATAGTTGTAGTGAAAAATTACGCGAGAGCCAGAGCGCAGAGTCATTGTTGAATAAACGCAACTACTCCTTTATTTACGCCCACACGGCATGTGATTTCAACGCGTGACTTTCGCTTTTTTTGTCTTCACGCGCAAACTGTCAAATATTTTTTTTTATATAATACCGAATAGGCGGACAAGTTGCAGAGACAATCATTCTTTACACGGACGCACGAAATCTTTGTGAAAATTAAAAGTTGTAAAAAACGTTTTTTTTTTGTTTTGTTTTACTTCTTTAATTCTAATACACACCCAACAAGTTTCCTTTTTATCTTTATTTGTTTATTAATTTTTTTTTTTTTTTTCCTATTTCGATTGGGAGTCGTTGATTATACAATCACTACGAACGGCAGCAATTCCTGTCATTCATAAACTTATCGATTGTGCTAGTCGGCGAATTGACACATTTTTTTTAGAACTTTGAGATTCAATATCTAAATGTAATTCCAACGGCTTCTTCTTACTTTCTCTGTTGATTGTTGTTTCTTCATTTTTAAAATAGATAGTAAGTCTGCAAAATTAATTAAAAAATCACTCACATTTTTTCTGTTGCTCAGGCGTGTTATTATTGTATAGAGTAGATGCAAAAACTTACTTTTGGTGATCTTTCTGCGTAACATTTGTTAAAGGAATACGCATACTCGCAGGAATCGTCGGTTGCTAGAATACAAAATATTTAATGAAAATTAATGTCTTAACATTTTTTTCATTTAGCAAAAATTATTTCACGCAACCAGACTTGGGCACAAACACACTTTCTCAATTTTTTGCAATATAATTGTTTGCTAAAAGTGTAATGCTTTATTTATGCTCAAAAAATGTTTTTTAATTAGTACTTAAAACACAGTACTTCCCAAAAATTTTTTCAGCACGAACAATGCACAGGCATTCGGAAGAAAAATCAGTTTGAGAAAAAAAAAAAAAAAAAAAAGTATTTGAAAGAGTGGTGCAATGTCATCAGGTGCGGTCACAGTAAACATTCAAAGATATAAAAAAAACACGCTCAAAGTAAGAAAATATATTTAATATTTTATTTGAAATACTTAACCATAAACTTTGTTATCTAAAATATACATATTGCATCTATACCTGCTCGAAATAAAAATTTTCCTTTGCATATTGCAATGTAAATAGTAACGTATAAAAAAAATTGTTCAACTAAAAGAATGCATATTATTATTCGGGAATAAAAATTTTCCATCAAAGCGTTGAAAAATGCATAAAATAAACGTACACCCAAGTCTCTACTTATCATTTTTTGTAAACAGATGGGCCGATACGAGTGCAAAATATATGATTTAGTCGAATGATAATCCATCGGTCCACCTTTTTACAGCGAAATCGAGGTTGTAATCAAGCAAAGTACATACTGTTGACTCCGAAGTAACTACCGAGGGCCTTGCACTCGATAATTGCCTTTTGAACCTCGTTGCGGTACGCTGGCATTCTCTGGAAAAATGTCAGCATGCCGTTCAAGCTCAGCTCCCGTTTCTCATCGATCAGCCCAAATTGCTCCCACAAACAGTACATGTAACACTATTTTTTTTTTTTTTATTTGTTTTTTTCATATTATCCAGATTTGTCGAACCAACTACATCACTGCATTAATATTCTCCCTACCTTCAATTCTTGCGTGTCCGGCCACTCTCCGTTCCTCACCGATTCGATGTCGGCTGAAAAAAAAGGGTTCCAATTTTTTTTTTTTTTTTTTACCCGCATAATATGTATATTTCATACAACAAAAGAAAGAAAGAAAATGTCTGCTTGAATTACCAGTGGATACCCCAGTCTGGGTCTGGCAGGCATTGACGACGCTCGCCGCGGTCGCAATCATCTTGTCGGACACGAAGCTGGGCCGCGTCTGCAAATATAACACCACAACCGAGGTAACATTTGTTGTAATTTTATAAAAAAAATAAACGCTAATCGCGCGTACGATACGGTAAACACCATGCAAAGCTCGAGCTGTATATAACGTCGCAGACCCTCGAATTTCGCAATCGCGCAATTGTATATAGGTGTACACGTTACAATCGCGTGCGAGATTGGCTCGGTCGCGGGCTAAGTTTCATGCGCCCTCGTATGTTATACATATACCTATAAATGCATGCATACGATTCTGGCGGCATCAAGTGCTCGTATTATCCCTATACCTACACACAAATGCGTATGTATCACGAAGGCGCGCGCTTCTGTCGAAAGGCGAGTGACATTTCAAACGTGTTCCTTTACAACGAGAACCATCCACATTATTACACCTATACTTGCACTGATTTTTTAAACGATGTATGCTTTTTCTCTCTTGGCATATGGATAAAAAGACTCGCGCGAGAGCTTGCAGAGTTATATATAATATCATTCCATGCATGACTTGTTATAGATTCCTGCGTTGTACTCAATGGATACACACACTCGTGAATTCCCTGCACCCGAGAGGGAAGAAGGAGAGCGACGAGGAGAAGAGAGGAGGTGGTACGGGAAGGGAGAGGGTTGACGCCCCTGGCGCACATGGCAATCGGGTGAAGTATGTATACTTGTATATATTAGGATGCTGTTGTTGTTTCGTATCTGTAAAGTCGTTGAATGCGTGTATGTATTTACGTACCCCAGCACAAACGATGCCGAGGAATAGGGTAGCGAGGACAAACTGTCCCTGGAGCTGGCCGAGCATAGCTGCTGTGGTTTTTGCGACAAAAGTGCGCGCGGTTGTGGGCGGACAGAAGAAGAAAAAGGAATGAAAAACAACAACAACAACCGCGGAGCAGCTGCCTCGGGTGGCAAGCAAGGGTGCGCGACTGATGCTGCAGAGATACGCTACCCACCAACCTATATACTTACTGTGTTGGTACTGGCCAACTGCTCCGATATCGGGGGCGGCCAGGCCAGTATACCTCGCTCCCTTCCACCCACGGCTACTCCTCCTTGCTTTGGCTCCAGCTAGACTCGCCTCTCCCTCGCCCACCATCCATACAATATATACATACAACTGGTAGCTGATCCCCTCCTTTTTTTCCTGCTCGCTGCTATAAAATATATCTATACATTTTATACAAATGGAGCTTGTAAATTTATGCCACATCCATCGAGGAAAAGAGAAAATAATTAAAATTAAAACAGAACAACAGTTATGTACGAGCTATTTGTTAGAGGCAAGGGGAAAAACAAGTCAAGAGCATCATTCTGCGACGTTTCAAAAATGAGTCAGTGGATCAAGTGTCATGAGTCACAATTAACGTTCCTTAGCACGACGATTCAAGCGCGTTGTTCTCAACTAAATCGCCGGATATGGCACTTGATGTCCCCTGCCTGATGTTACACATACAAGCACCTATGACAACGATAATACGTAATCTCGGACACCAGGCGGCAAAATCGCGTAACACCTTATTCTCTCGGCAGTCTATTTTCGGTCCTTCATCCTAACACCAAGTGAGCTATATATACGTACGATATAAATGTTCATGTCATGATAAATAGCTCATTTGGAAAATCGTACATACAACCGATCTTGTGATTGATCGAGAGATTTGATTTACATTGGCAATATCAATTGTACACCTGCACGTGATATTCGTATAGCTTTGTTAGCTCATAATATATACTATATTTTATTAAATTGTATATACCTGATGGCGAAAAGTATGTACAACAGTGGTCATTACCTCAAAAGTATATTTTAAAAAACAAGATATTTCTGTTTAAAAAAAAAAAAAAAAAAAAAAAAACTTGACAGGAGAGTGATGAGAAAAAAAATAGAGCTTGCAAGCTCGGGAGCTATGGTGGCTCTCGGCTGACGGAACATCTCGATGTATAGAGTTATGTGTACATGTATATATGTGCCATATTTTCCATCCTTTCTTCTCTCCCGCGTTCGCTCTTGAATCTCTCAATCGGAATATACTCCGAGTCGCGGAGCTCCACAACTCCACACCTTTCACTGTACCTATTGTATTGTTGTGTATATACAGTGTGCGTTCCAACAGCCAATTTCGGAGCGTATCGTTTTTTCGTAGTTCATCGTGCAGTTATTGTTCCGTTTGATTGTTGTTTTACAAGTAGTTGGGCCTTGCTCCAAAATTCAAAGATACTTATTAGAAAAAAAAAAAAAAAAAAAAACAACCATTGATAATTCGCGTGTGGCTGTGTGGACACATTTGTTTACACGACACGAGCACGCGTGTATACGGTAGTCTGCATAATGATGATGCAGTCTCTTCTCAGGAGGAAGAGGACGGGTACGATGATCCTGGGCTGGGACGTAAGTGGCGAGCCCAGCCACGGTGCATCGCTACGATGAGAGCCCTCGTCGAGGAGCCGAGTGAAAACTTTACTCCCCAACAATAACGGCGAGTACTTAAAATGGGCAAGACCAGGGGAGTGCACGAGACCACTCCGGAGATTCGTAATCGCATGGTTGGTATGTTCGAGGCTGGCCTCGGGCTGCGGGAGATAGCGGTGGCTGTCAACTGCTCGGTAAGTCCATGTATCCATTTTTGCCGCGATGGGCTATCAAAATTAAGTTGTAATCGTTTCCCCTGGCGATTATCGGTGCGGCTTGCAGCAAAGAACTGTCAAACGCTGGCTCAACAGATTCAACCGGGAGGGAAGCGTCGAGACTCGCGATAGGTGCGGCCGAAAGAGAGCCACGACTCAGGAAGAGGACGATGCTATCGCTCGCCTGGCTACCCAAACCCCCATCACGGCTGCCAAGGCTGTGTTACCTGCCCTGGGGCTGCACTGTTCCGTTGACACAGTCCGCGAGAGGTTGCACAAGGCCGGCATCCACAACTGGAGGATTCCCTCCAAGAAGCACATACAGAAGATCCCGATAGAGTACGTATAAATTAGTCATCGCCGATACTTTTACGTATATTGATGAATTTCAATAATTCTTAAGTCTGGGGTATTGTAGCATTTCAGATGAGTCGGGTATTCAGCAGGCAGTCTGGAGGACTACCGGCACTCAAGTGGGTAAGAAGAAACTGGCCAAACCTGGACCCAGCACCAACGACTCTGCACAGCCAAAGAAGAAAGCGTCTTCCCCCAGAGTCAAGTCCAAGCAGCCCAGAGAGCAGGAGAGTCTGCCGTACCAACCTCCAGTTTCCGGGGCTCAGGAGTTGGAGCAACGAGCGAGCGACGTCCAGTTGTTGGCATCGCCTCTGCTGCCACAGACCACGATGTCCCTCGATCCGAGCCATCAGTTTAACCACTCGTTGAATCCTCTGCCGCAGCCGCTCTACCAGCACCACCCGGGCCTGAATATGACGCAAGTTTGGCCTCTGGATCTCGTGCACAGTGCGCACCATTATCCACAGGTTTGTAGTAGAGCACATGTTGCTGGAACTTTAGACTCCTCTGTTGACTACTTTCCACGTTGATTTTAGCATCCAGTCCACTTGCACGAACATCACTCGGCAATGCACCTTCAGTCTCACTTGCACGACGGTACCAACGAGGTACAACAGCACTCTCGAGCCGTGTCGGAAACTCCGATGCAGTCGACAATCGTGCCTCTTCAGAATTTTGATCAGCACAAGGTGGCCAGTCACCAGGGTGTTCCGGAACCACCTCGAGAGAAAATGATTGCCGGATGCTCGGAGAGTCGTTCCAACTCGAGCAGCATTTGTTCCAATGAAAACAGTCAAAGCTCGAATGCGAGCAATAGCGAAACGAACAATGGGGACTGTGATGACTCGAGCAAAGGAAAAAATGCGAAAAGCATGGAGAATGAGCAGAAGAAGAAAGGTGGCAAAGTGAAAGGGACGCTCGAGACGAGTGTCGAGATACGCAACCGCATGATCGGCATGGCCGAGGCCGGGCTGTCGACGCTGTCCATTGCCCTCGCCATCAACAGATCTGTAAGACTCGCGAATGGAGATTAAAGTGCTTTTTATTTGAAAACTGTTGATCTTTGCAGGAACGGACGGTCAAACGGTGGCTCGACAGGTGGCACAGGGAAGGCAATGTTCAGACGAAAGAGAGAAAAGGCAGGAGGCGCATCACGACCAAGGAGCAGGACGATGCTATCGTGGCGATGGCGAGTCAACAGCCGTTGACAGCCGCAAAACACGTGGTACCCGCGCTGGGTCTCAAATGCAGTGTGGACACGATTAGGGAGAGGTTGCACAGAGCTGGCTTCCATAGTTGGAAGTTGGGGAAAAAGCAGGGGTAGGCTGCAGCATTTGGAATGCGAGAAATTATTTTTTTTTTTTAATGATAAAATATGTGTATTGTGTGATCGACAGGAAGGGCAATGTCGTTCACAACGTCCACCTTTGGCAGCCCAGTGGCAACAGATCAAATAGGAACAAGGCCAGTGGAAACAAAAGAAAGAAATCTGTGAAAAAACGTTCCACAGGAGTCGATAGTAATAAACAAATAAATAAGAAACAAACTGAAGAAGTGCCACCTGTAAAAGTTGTTTTACCAGCCGCAAACGTGGTACCGGAAAAAATCGACTCCCAGTTTCAGAATCAATCGCAATGTAAGAAAAAAATAAATTTTCTTTGATGTTGTTACTTTGGATCAGAGACAAATACCGACCGATTGATATTGTTTAGCTCCTCCAGTGACTCAGACAACCCAAGACTTGAGCAGCGTAGCCGGTCTTATGCAGCCGCAAATTCCTTCTGCGTGTAGTGCGAATTCAATTCCTAGTCAAAGTCTACATCTACTGGGACCCGTAATGCCACAGAGACCGGATTGCAGATTGGCGTTCTCCGCAATCGTGCCGACAATACCGGGTCAATTTACTAGCAGCATTCCTCTATCCTCGTGCATGATGGCCGGCACATCTCATCCGATACACGTGGAACAATCGGACCCTATGAACTATGAGCCTTACATCTGGAGCTTTTAAAAAGTACAGATGGATGTGCTTTTTTTTTATTCGCATTTAAAACGTGTCAAGGACATTTAAGGTCATAAAATTACGGTTGCTTTTCCTGTGACTATTTTTGTACTTTTGTACAAAATCCAATTTTATACCTTGGAGAGTACAGTTTCTTTTTTATAATAAGTCATGGCTGTACAAGTTTGAAACAAATATTGATCTCAACTACGAAATGTGATGTAATTTCTTTAATAATTTAATCTAATAAAAATATCATGACAAAAATCTAAGCAACAATGTAATTATTAATGTAGCGAAAAAAAAAGTATAGTTTTTTATTCTGTTGATGACAAAAAAATTTTAAAATTTTTACACTATTGTACATATCTTGAAAATCTATATCGAAAAATATATCTTTGATACAAAACTGAATCACTTTTATTAATAAATTAATATTGAGCATTAAACGTGATAATTACGTAATATAATAAGAAATTGAATGTATTTTATGATTCTTTTTTAATTACTACACACTTTAAGAATCCCTATATCTTGGTTTGAAAATTATGTACATTATTTAATCATTAATTTTTATAATACAGATTCATGTCAGTTCCCAAAGTTTTGACACATTATTTACAACAACTTCTGGCTCATTTTTATAAAACAAAAAAAAGCCTTGAATTTGAGCTGGACTTACGTTTCGTTTGTGCGACAGGACATTTTCAGCAAATTTCTTTGCCAAATTTTCAACGTCGTTCTTTTTTTCTATGTAAAATCTAAGAAACATTTTTTCAAGCTGTATTGCTGAGCACCAGCCTGAAAAATAAAGGCATGCATTAATTTAAAAACATACAAAATTTTGTTGACAACTCAATTAACAAGGTATACCTATGTATTCCTTATAATCCACTCTTCCGGGCCTGATAAGAGCTGGGTCCAATCTGTCTAAATAATTTGTTGTCATAAATAGTATTCGACCTTCAGATGAAGCCACTCCATCCAAGGCATTCAACAAGCCACTCAAAGTTACACTATTCAAGCCTTGAAAAGCAGCTTTAACTTCTCTCGTTTCTTCTCTACTAACGAAAACAGCATCAATATCTTCTAATAAAATTATAGTCTCCTGCGGAGCTACAGCCAACAGGTGATTCAGTCTATCATCTGTTAACATTCTGTCGGACAAGTTGAGCACGCAAATTCCACGATTTAATCTGCCAGCGAGAGCAGTGATGAATGAAGACTTTCCACATCCAGGAGGTCCATGCAGCAAGTAACCTCGTCTGTAAGGAATCCCTCTGTCACTGTACCATTTGACATTTTTTATAAACTCTTCGCAGTCGTTTACTATTTTGTCAGAAATATCATCATCAAGAATCACGCTATCTAGAGGTCTTTGTTTTTTTGGATGACCAAATTGTCGCCACTCATGTCCCATCGCTGTGTACATAATAGTTTTTCCTTTATGTTCAGCCAATGCCATTTGTCTTGCTGAAAAAATCAAATACAATAATTAATGAAAGCACCTTTGATTAGGTAGTACACTTAATTTTACATATATTTTCAACTACCTTCGTCTAGGATCTCGAAATACATTTCCTTATTTTTCCCTAAAGCAGTTAAATGGACAGACTCAAATGGCATTCCTAAATTGACGTCGTGCATCTGCTGCTCTCTTGTTCTCTCGACTTTTATCCAATTGTTGCGAAACCTTAGTGATGTTTCATAAATGTATGCAATCATAAACATCCAAATGGAAAAGTATAAAATAATCACAAATCGTGGTGACACTCTTTATGTAATGAATAAACTAGCCAACCTGAAGAAATGAGTGCCAATGCTGGGTATGAATTCATATTTTGTTGTAACGTAACCAGTATCACTCTGCAAAAAACTGGTCGACACAGCCAAATGTTGTGTTCCTTTTGCTCCCTTGTTTGTTATCCATTTCAAAAGCCACTCGTAACTTTTATCTCTACACGGCACCTCTAATGTTATCATGTAATGTCGTCTGAAAAATTATGTGAAAATAAATATTTTTCAAAGCATAACAAAAATTTTTCTGTTGAAACTATTGTTACCTGAAAAGTATCATGCCAGTTTGGGCACTCTTTCTCAACAAAGCTGCACCCGCGCCCAACCCAAACAATCCGAATCCAGCTCCAAAATATGGATTATCGGATAAGGTCTGTACATACTCGATTATAGTCATACTTGTTGTTTTATTAATTAATTAAAACTTCCCGTTATTGTAAAACCGTTTAAGAATTACATGAATAAAAATTTAGTTCTTGACATTAACAACAAATGTTAACTAATTTGTTAATTTCTAGTTAATATATTGTTATGAAAATTATGAGAATTCATTTTCATAAAAACTATGTAAATTTATCACAGAAACACTACTTGACTTTAACATAATTTTTTTATAGGTTATGTGCATTTAGCGGCTGCTGCATATTCTAGCAAAACGTCTGCTCCAAGCAGACGACGGTGTCTATATTAATTATCGCAGATTTATTTGAATGAATTTGCGGGGGGACCAAATGCATTTTCAAGAATCAAGTATCCTTATTAATCCAAGTACTAAGTACCCTGTAGAGACTCTTGAGTAGAAATTTTTAATACAAATTTTATAGTAATAATTATAAAGTCATGTAAAAAAAGGTTGTTTATAAATATGACAACGAAAATAACTTGTGTGTCCTACTGCATCTAAGTATTGTTCGTTTTCATTCCTACAAAATTCATACAATCAATAGATGGACAAGTGTCAAATAACTGGAAATATTAGATAATTTTTTCCACTTTTTCCACTCTTCCGACAGAGAAATTTTTCGGTTGTTGATGATAAAGTGGTTAAAAGAGGTCAGTTTTGTCATAAAAAATCTGTATAAAAAGTGTTTACAAAAGTAATTATTAAAAAATTATCATTCAATAATTTATCATTTTAAGCAAAATCATGTTTGCTATACTTTTTTTGTAATCACGCAGACTCAAATTTTCAACCGCTAACACCACGTCTCCAATCGTCTTTATTTTACTTATTGTATTTTCATTATACTATAGCGGCCAGACGTAACTTTGTTTAGTTTGTTGGCTTGCGATTTCGCAATTGTTGATATCGAAATCATCAGATGCAGATTTTTTAACGACAATCTCTTTTCAACCGAATCAAGCCACGTTCAACATTGAAATTGTGTGTATAGTATTGATTTACTTTTGCTCTGTCTCATCCACATTACGTGATTTATAACATACATGTAACGCTATTATTTTTTTTAAACTGCAGCGATTGTGTTTTTCTTTTTTCTTTTTTTTTTTTTTTTTTCAGAACTCTATTAATGCTTAAGATTTTTTTACATCCATACTGTCATGTACAAAGTTTTTTCAACTTTCCAAAAATTTGTCAAAACTTGACTTGATTACAATGTAATTGTAAAAGGTGACTTGATTATTTTGACACCACATTGTATGGGTACCCTTTTTACGCGTAGCTGTCCAGTGAGCAGAAAGTAAACTTATAACTATCAAAATACATGTGTCTGGTAATGTATAAAAACATAATTGATCTAATGATGAAAGATCTCGGGAAAAACGCTATAATTTTAAGAATTTTGATAAGACACAAACACCGACTCTTCTGTTATTAAACAAAAATATAAAATCCAAATTATCGTCAACTTTAATATACATTGTCGATCGTATAGGTACAAATAGGTTGCAGCGCATTTTGCGAGCATAATTACAACCGTTTTTACCTACAGATTTGGAATAATAATATATGCGTATCCTCTACTATAAGTGTTTGCGTAACGAAGCGTGTGTTTATTTTTTCTAATCTGGATGAAATTATATTTCAACCGCATCTACGCATTACGCGCGAAACGCGATGATGAAAATGTCCCTCCATCCGCACGATTTAATTTCATTAAAAACTTTGAATCCGCAATATTACGCAATTAGGCGTATAAGTTTGCCAATCACGCGTTTAAACAGTATACGATAGATTTTATTGCACAATCATGCACAACAGGTTTAAGTGTAAACGCAAAATTTTTCGGATAACTTTTAAGAGACCGACATAGAGGCATGGTTGGACATTAAAGTTCATAGTTTTGGCAAATACGTCCATTTGTAAAACGACGACCGAATTTTATAACTGAACCAACTTTTATAATTTGAACCATTGATTGTACAGGTATACCTATGTTAATATTAATAAAGCATTTCCCAATGTCCCCTGCACTGTGTGTGTGCGCGACCATTTGTATACGTGCTTATATGTATATATGTATTAGACCCGCGTAATTGAGAGTCGCGAGAAAACCTGTCCGTTAAGTTACGGCTCCGCACCGCTGCCGCTAGTTTTCTCTCGTAATAAATATATGACGATACGTCAAGCGACGTCTCAGCTCTCGTTTCAACGATTTAATGTACATGCATGTAAATATACTGTTTATATATTATATACTTGATGGTTTTTTTCATTGTTCTTGCACACGGGGTGGTGGTAAATTTGCCGATTGTGCAATTACACGTAAATATGTATTTTTGTACGGGTAACTGTATATACAATTTGTCAAACTTTTATCAGATTCTTTCATCTCGTAGAGGATTCGAGCTCACTTTGCCACGAAAATCGGTTATTTGCATCGTTTCAACAAAAATATGGCACCGCAAAAAGGTATACATATGTATATGATGAAAAACGGAGGAAAAAAAAAAACGTAGTTGCATATTACGCGCGGACAATGGAGAATCGCGAGCTATAAGCCGAGAGAGATGAGAGAAGGAGGAAGAGAGAGAAAACGAGGAGCAGGAAGCGCGACTCGAGGATCGCGAATTTCTCGCTGCCGAGTCGTATTATATATTGTATATACACCCGCGATGCTCGCGCATCTTTCCGCGTCGTCTTTTCTCTTTGGCCAACAACACGTACGCATATATACTTATATGTATACACACGATACCTGTACGCTTCGGGTGCGGGCGCTCGTATGTATATGATATTGTATATACCGTGTGTTGTTGCATCGGAGAAAGAGCGGAAAGAGGTGGGCGTTTGTACACGTATATACATATATACGCGCAAGGGCCGCGCCGGTGAACGTCGTGTGCCATACATGGCCATGTTATGTGGAGACATGCGCCGCGCTCCACACACGCGTATCGGCTTGCCCATGGGCATCACCTACGTGTGCGCGCAATCGGGTCTCCCACTATATAATACCAAGAGCGCGGGGCTCGCCGCCACCGTGGTCGAACCGTTGCCGATTATTGCTCGATAGGAGCGCCGACCGAACGCACCGGAGCCGCGACCACCTGCGCCTTCATCGACCGCGAGTTTGCCGATTTCCGCCGATTTTTTTTTTTTTTTTTTTTTTTTTTTTCTTCACCCCAAAGGATCCAGGGAGCCAGAACCACGGAGATGTGAAACTGGATCGAGGATCGTACACCGCGCGAGGACTCGATTTTCCCCGATAACCGGCACCAGGTATTTATATTTTCGCCCTATATTTTTCTTCCTCCACTCTATACGCTAAAACTGGACTAGACACCGCGCAATGTATTACAGAGGAGATTATATTTCAAAAGGAAGCATCTAATGTGGGGACAATAGTGCGAAGTGAGCATATACAGGAGTGACTCGCGATAGAGTAACGAAAAAAAAAAGGGAAAAAGAGAAAAAAAAAATTTATATATATATGAGCGTGCAACAGTGTAGGTGTATACATTTAAGTACTGGGCTGCAGTCGTGGGTTCATACAAAAGTAGTAACAGTCGGACAGGACAGTTGGAGAGAAGCGTAGGCAGGAAAAGGAGAGAAACGAGCAACAGCTTTTGAAGGGGCGCGCGCGGTATACTAATAACATATACGTACATGTATATGATCTCTCGTGTGCGTGTGCAGTGTATATAATACACGAGAAAGGAGGCGGAGGCGGAGGTGACAAGGATGAGGAGAGTGGAAGCAAAAGGAAACGGCAGCACGTGGGCCGCGCGTAGGTATACCTACAGCTGAATGAAAAGAAGAAGAAGAAGACGCCTGCGTGCATTCACAGGGATCCCCCCCTTTCTCCCCCCCCCCCC